GGAAACGCCTAAAATGTCTCAAATAGAGCCAGAATTGTAGCAGTAATGGATTCCTGATAACAGAATGCGCTGGCATTCCATAAAAACCATAGAATAATAATATTAATTTGTAATCTCCAGTTTATTGTTATCCGTGAAAAATGTTGATACATTTCTGATAAACTATAACCAATTTTAACCGTTGTCATCATAGATAATAAAGTTCTTTATTATCTATGATTGTCTTACGTATAAGTCTGTTTGTTAATTATCATTACATGGTTTATACGCCATACGGGCGTCGATAAAATTGTAGCTGTCTACATATTTTCAATTATATTAGATTAGATTAGATTGGGTTTGTAATTGGGAAATAAATTATTGGAATAGTTGGAATTTAATTATTTAAAACAATGAGAAAAATAATTAAAATATTTCAAAACAAAATTTCAATGACGCAATTACGATAGTTACTTCCTTGAAAATTTTGAATTCAACAATTTAAACTTAATATAGTATTTGTTTTATGATACAGACTACTTCACTTTATGGATGGTTAAACAGAATTATATTTTGTTTGTATAAAACAATTATAAATTGAATATATTTTCTTATCTCAGGTTATTTTTACTCAAACAGGTTTCCTGAACCACACTGTATGAATTATTATTATTATTATTCATATAATCTGTGCTTGAACCATCGGACGACTTGATCCCTCCGTCTTTCTCTGCCTATCTAAATTTAATAATAATTATTTTTTAATTATGACAGTGCTCCAGCATAGCACGTTTTAAGGAGTAATATTTAGGCAATTCACATCACATGTATATTTGAACTGTGTCATTGTGTGAGTAATGAATAAACATAAGTGTGTGTAATCAATTATCGCATGCCATAGTTTTATGGATTCCCGAAACTACGATAATAATATATTTTAAAATGTTATACAAATGTCATTAGCTACGTACGTATGCATGGGTTATCTTATAGTCTTTTACTATTAATTAAATATACAATAACATAATAATTACTATAATTTATTAAATACTTGGTATATTTAATCAATGCTTATACCATAGTACCCATAGTACTTAGATATTACTAACTATCTCGGCTTTTTCGTTATTACCTAACTTTATTTTTTATACAATTATTTAAAAAAATATAACTATATGAAACAATTTTCTCACACATGCACGAACATGTCAATAAATCGCGAAAAATGAAATATATTCTTGTACTCATAACGTATAAAAGCTACTAAAAGCGGTAGTAAATTCGACATACTTCCTGAACTTCGATTGTAATGTCGAAAAAAGGGTTGAATTCGTAAGCTTCTTGAATTTAAATAAATTTGAATAATTTTTAGTTGGCCTAACTAGTGCACTACCTGCGATTAGCTCCTAGTACTCGGGACTCAACTCGGATGCTCCGGGGTTCACACTTCACCATGCCGTATCGTGTCTTCTAAAATGATTATCTCTGATAGGTTGAACTATGTAGTTACATCTAGGGATATCGTCTAACCATGTGGTACAGTGAAGTTGATTTCAGCCAACTTTAGAACGTGTGGCTACTGATTTTAAAAGTAATAATTTAATTTTCTCTGGTAACATGATAAAAAATAATATGATATCTACTGATTACTATATAATTTAATATTTATCAGTTATTATTTATTAGAACTATTTTTTGTTTAACTATTTAAATATGTCATATGTTAAAGTATATATATTATACATCCATACGATTTATATGGTAAATTATAATATTATTCACAGCTTCAACTTTTTCACAAATTTTATTTAAATCATTTAAAAGTTTAATGAAAGGGCTTATATAATGTATACTAGTATATACTTACAAGTTTTCTTATTTTACCCATGTTGACGAACCAACCAATGTCAAGAACTCTTCAACTGTAGAGACTGACATTATCGTAAAATTAAAATTAAAAAGAGTTTGACAGCTAATGCTCTTTTAAAATTGTATTGAAATGACCTAGATTAGAGCAAACAGTCGAAGCAACAGCCGTACATGCAATCTTTAATACACACAAATTTTAATTTATCAATTTAATACATAATAACAATTAAAAATGAGATAATTTTTCTAAGTTGCTAATGCAAATGTCCATGTGTCACACTTTCCACATGAAAATTTTAAATATTTATATTCATATATTTACAACATACCTTTTTTCAGATTCTAAGATAAAATTATACAAATTCGTCTTTTGCGTACAAGGTAATTCGAATTATATCCGTTCAAAAAATTTATATGTTTTGTCCTCTTAAGTTGCTGTGGTTCATGTTACTTGAATATATAAATATAGTGAAATAATGTGCTGTACAAAACGTATGAAGTGCACTTTTCATTAGGTATTTTATTAAATTGATAAAACGAACATTATGGCTAGAAAAAAAAAATTAGTTATGATAATATTTCATATCTGATAAAAAAAAAACTTCGAAAATATGTAACCAAATCTAACGTTTGATAACATCACCGCTAGGTATATATTGGTATCACACATTTTCAAAACACACAATCCTATAAAGTACCCGGTCACGGTGTAGTGTGAATCCGGATACAGCCGCATGGTTAGTTAATGAATGTCAGTGACTGGTAACGCATAAACATAATCTGTCAGTGACTGGAGAAAGCCAGTGGGCACTGAAGTGCCAGCAGATGGCATTGCCAGTAAAACAAATATTTTTGTTCTGTTGGCGCGTTTGTTCTTCCCCCCCCTCCCACTACATCACCGCAACGAAATGAGCCAACTGGCATCGCGTAAAAAACGACCGTCACGTGCCTATTACTGGACTATGACAGCGTTAAATCAGTCTGACACAGTAACGGTCATATGAGTGTCATTACAGTTAATGATTGGACTTATTATAAGCAACAACTCTTCTAACTGTTCAGGTTATATATAGCCTGATTACCTTAAGTTCAAGTGGGTCATTGTCTCTAAGTTCTCTAATTATTGTTTATGACGCTCCATATTCCTTTTTATCCATCAAATCTTACGCGAGAGTAGCTCTCAACTATAATGCATGAATGATAGTTCAAGAGCTGCTCTTGTTTGTAGTTCGATAGTTAGTATTGACGTGTTTACACTTTTTTGTACTAGGATAGCTCTCATAAGCACAACTAATTAGCCCTCCAATAATGCCCAAAGCCCCCCCCCCCCCCCCCAAAAAAAAATATATAAGGCAATTGTTTTCTAGAATTAAATAAATAACTCGTCTATACTTTTATTTTCAGAAAAAAAAGATCCAAATTTCAGAAGAAAACATTATTGTATTTTATTTATTATTTGTTTTATGTTTTATCTTTAGTTGTTTTATTTTTCGTGTTTGTCGATTTGTATTTGGTTAATATGACAATTTAATTATTAGCCAACCGCTGTATCCGTGCAGCTAATTTATTTTGTATTACTTAAATTGGTGTAAAATTATCATTAATATAAGGCCAGCAACATACGTGCGTTATTTTACCTCGTAAACAAAATTTTCTGATCGCTTTAATTCATACCAACACACATGCGTTTATGTGCGACACGTTTATTTGGGTAGGTACCTACGATATTCACGATAACTTTTCGTATATTTACTCATTTCATTAAACATATATTAACTATTTATTATGTGTCTATGTTTCAACTAGACAACATCATGGCAGATGAAAATATTATTTTGTTTTTGGGTTACTATCTTATTATAATAATAAAAATAAATATTTGTAATACTGTAGTACAGTAGATATCAAACACTAAATAACCTATAATATAAAATGTTTCTTTATATTTAATTAGTTATAATAAACTAAGTAAAAATAATATATCATTTATACTAAATTAGTAAATATTATGGTTAAATTAATATTTTTATTTGATTTTTTTTAATAAATACTATAAAAATCTGTATTTTTAAACATAAAATTAATTAACAATACATAGTTTAATTATATTATTAAATCTATTTTTCTGTTTTTTGTCAATTCGTCCAGTGCTTCGTCTGTGGTTATATTGACAACTCCACAATGGACAGCCATAGTGAATAAGTATTCGTGTAGATATTTATTTAATTTAGATTTTGTGACCCTACTGTCTCGTATGTCTCTTCCCCCCCCCCCCCCAAAAAAAAAACCCAATTAACCCTAATTGCGTCACTGATGATACTATCACGATAATAACTTGTGAGAGTGATTGTCATCATAGTAAGTAAATCATCATCATCTTAGCATTACTGTTGGAGGAGTAAATATGTAAATAATATAGAGTACTGTTTGTACTGTTTGGCAACCTAAATTCAGGGCAATTCAAAAGTCTTCATTCGATTACGAACTGATATAGCTCAGAAATCATTGATTGCAGGTTAACGACCTATATACCAATAGAAAGATAAGATAGTCAAGTTTATTTTTAGTTAACCGCACTGGAAGTTAGAAATTCGTCGGTATTTGAACGGTCAACTCCCTTAACGGTGGATTGGGCATAAAGGAGGCCATGATTTGTCGATTTATCCCTAGCCACCACGTTCCCTAGACCTCACAGTGTGTGATTTCTTTGTATGAGGCTATATAAAAAATACAGTTTATGTACCATTATTACCTACAAACTTGGAAGAGCTCAAAACCAGTATTAAATATGTGAATGCTATGCCACAAGATATGATCAGCAACGCTTGGGAAGAATTTGAATACCGTATAGATGTATGTCGGGCGGCCTTTGGGGGTCATATTGAAAATTTTTAAATTGTAACTAAACTAAATAAAACTTGATTATTTTATGAATATTTTTGACTTCATTCCACCCTTATATCTTTATTTTTAAAATAAATATACAAATTTGAAATTAAGTGAAGACTTTTGAATCGCCCTATATATTACCGTAAATATGTATACTGATAGTTACACGCAATAGTTACTTCTTCGATACATAGTACATAAAATAAACTAAAAATGTTACAACCACTTGACATTAACGATTTATACGTTTTTCTTGATTTCAGGAAGAATCTATAACTAAGAATCAATATGCGTTATTATTAACGATGACTCGAAGGCATGAAGATGGGAATCTGTACCTATTGGCAGCTAATTTTGTACATACTGAACAGTCAGACGTACCGTATGCTAGACGGATTTACAATTATGGCATTAAACATCACAATTCTAATAAAGAATTGTATCTAGAATATTATAAAATGGAACTTAAGATGATTGAGAAAACGAAAGGCTTTTCATATCCAATTGCAACTCGGGTATACAAAATGATTATCAACGCTTTTGAAAATGATATGCATTTACACATAAAATTACTAGAGATGGCTTTAAAAACTGATATTTGCCAATTGCAAATATCTATAATAAAGTAAATATAAAATATATTATATGTTATATTTTTTTAATTTTAATAATTTTAAATTTAAATAATATCTTATCTAGAGATATGATAGAGAAATACTATAAAGAAGAAATTATGTGGAAAAAATTAGCAACAATTAATTTTGAGGGTTTTATCTATGATAATGCCGAAGCAACACTTGAGTATGATGCCAATAACGACCTTAAAAAAAGAATACTGTGAGTTTTTATGCAATTGTTTAAATTTAATTTGACTCTCGATACTATTAAGTTCTATAAATCTGAATAATAGGGCCAGTTTTCAAATTTATGAAAATGCATTGAACATTAATAATGATACTGTAAAAATAAATAATTTATGGAAATTATACGCTCAGAGTATCGTAGAAATTTGGACAAAATTAGATGCTATAAATGAAGAAGTTGCATCTTTGTTGAATAATTATGTGAATAAAGTTTTTTTAAGTGCACATACAAAAAAACTATTGGGTTCAGAATATTATGTTTATTGGGTATGTATGACACATTAGATTTTCTGACATTTGATGAAAAAAAATTTATGATTTTATCTAGGCTGAATTTTCAACTAATGATTGTGAACAAGTGTTATTGGAAAATGCAATCAAGTTGAATAGCCAAAATGCAAACGTTTGGACGATCGTAATGAATCATTATTTGAAGCTTAAATTGTTTGAAACTGCAAATAGAGTTCTAAGACATAGTGTTCAAGCATTGAAATCAAAATCATTGCCTTTGTGGAAAACAATTAGTGGTATTTTCTTAAAATTAGACGACCAAAAATGGGTAAGACTTAATACTATGAATATTTTTACAATCAAGCGATATTTTTATATCCATATATATTAATCTATCTTATTTTTCATTAAAATTTATATAGTTATACACAGGGCTTAAAATCAAAGTAAAAAATTTCGATTTTAATTTAAATTTTGATTATTAATAATAGTTTTTTTTAATTTCGATTTTGGTTTCAAATATTGGTATTAATTTTTTGCAATTTCGTTTTTGATTTCGAATAACGATATTCATTTTTTTAATTTTCGGTTTCAGAAATCGGTATTTATTATTTTTCGATTTCGGGTTCGCAACAGAATGATATCCATGACTTATAAAAATTTCTCAAATTTTAGTACATCATCAGCATAATAGTGTTGTAGGCTGTAGCAACTGCAAAAATACAAAATAAAACTATTTTAGATTATTTAATTGTATATTATTGGTTAAAAGTATAACTAACGGGTGACAGCCAATGAAGTATTATAAATTAATATTTTATCCATAATAATACACTGCAAAATATCTATATATAGTTAACTATATGTACGGAATAAATCGTGTATATAAAAACAACAATCGCTCGTCGAACGCTGATTCCTAATCGTAAATATTCTAAGAAAACAAAATAGGTACTAGTTATTTATTATTTTGTATAATCAATATTATTACCAAATATGGCAATGTTTACGAATTGACAATATAAATAAACCTGTTGGCTGTTGAATTATAAATTAATTTGATTTAAAATCGTTTTAATTATTAAAATAATTTTAATTTTGATATAAAATATGGATTTTAACTTTTCAATTTCAATATAAATTTTGAAAATCATTACCAAAGATTAACAATTTTGATATTGATTTTGATTTTCTAAAAGATTTTAACGATTTTTATCGATATTTGAAATCGTTTTCATGTTATACATTTAATATTCATATTATTATTTAAAAAATATTTTGATAATAACATGTTGTCCGTATTTTCTTGGTAGATCGAGGATTTATATACTAGAGGCATAGCTTCTGTTTACACAGAAATCAGCGTTACATTCAGAATTCCATACTTAAATTGGTGCTATAAAAAAAAGGGTAGATCTATGGCTCGTAAATTGTTTCAAAATATAAAAGATCTTCAGCCAGGACAACCCGAATTATTCCTTTATATGATATCGCTTGAGAAGTCTTGTAATCGCCTTAAAAACGATGTATATATCAATAAATTATATTTTGAGTTGTGCACTAAGTTTGGTTCTCATCGTATGGGTAAGTGTTATTTATCTTAAACCGTTTACTCAAAAATAATTTTTTAAAATGATTCTTATTTACAGATATATGGTATCATGCTATTAAATATAATCATGAAGAGAACAATGAGAATGATGTAGCACGTTTGTGCACTACAGCTGATTCAATATTGCCCCAACACTTGAAGGATGAATTGAAAGATAAATTGAAAATAATTGCGCGAAAACCACCATTAAAGTATTATACCTTATTAGCTATAATTCCAAATTTTTGTTAATTTTAAAATTCACATTCAATTTTTATTTTTAGAATAAAAGTTGCTTCACCTACGATCTTGATCTGAATGCAGCTGAAGAATATTTAAATAATATATTACTTTTTCATAAAAAATGTATAGGTAATATTATTATCCATGATATACTTTCTTCTGTTATCTCCCCTGACAATTATATTTTCCTCTACATATTCAACCTACATATACAACCTCTACATATTCCAATCAATACAATAATTTTAATTTTCGCATTATTTCATTTTTTTCCTGTAACACGTGTTTCCATGTAATATTTCTGTAAGTAATTATTTTACTTTTTAAAAAATATGTAGTGGTCTCGGAACTGAACTTGTAACCATAAGACTAAATGTTGCCATATTTGATTATATTTTTATGATATTATCTAATAACTGATTAATTAATAATATTTTTAATAACGAATTAGGTTTTTATGATTATACTATAATTAGATGTAATAAATAGAAGATAACTAATATGAATAATGTCCTAATTAACACTAGTAATGATGTTCTTTCCTGTACAATATATTGGTTGTTATTCCTAATGTTGAACAACCATTTGTCCAATTATCTTATATTAGATCTAGTAATACTGCGTGTTGTGTCTAAATTATTAATTTAACTTCGGTAATCTTTTATGAATAATTTATGGTAATGCTACAAGAAAATTTTAATTTTGGTTCGATTTCAATCTTATAAGGGTTACATTGACAAATTATGAACATAGACTTATCTATGTCAATCTTTCTGGTGGTCAGGTGTTTCTGAATGTTTTGCTTTTCTTAATTTTTTCAGCTCAACAATTTGTTATATGTTGTGATATGTCATTTTTTTAAGTAAGGATATCTGATAAGTTTTTCGCTCCTAAGGGTCGTTACCATTCAGCTCTAATTATAGATATTTATAATTTTCTGTTCCATCTGTTCTCTGATTTTTCCCATTAAGGCGACCCTTAAAAGTAAACCGAAAGCCATTTTTTTAAATCGGTTAAACGTGTTCTAATATTCTTACTTTTGATATGTACATTATATATGAATAATATAAAAAAAGTATTTTTTAATTTTCGTTTTTTGTGATTTTTCAATGATATTCAGTTGTTTTACAAATCAACTGTATTCTCGAAAAAAAAAAAAAAATTGAATCTATGATATTTTCTGCTAGTAATATCAAACTGGAACTAGATTAAAATTCCATGTCGATGATCTGTCGATTTTATGTATTCTATCAATGGTATAAAATAACGAATCCCTGGTGATGATAATTGATCAATACAGAGTTGAACTTAAATTCAAAGTTTAAATAAAGTACACTGCAATTTTTTGTACGGTTTGACTGTCCTCAATAAGATTACTCGCTGGTGTTTCAGAAACAATCTATTTTAGAATATAATAGAAATAAACGAACTCATTTAATTTTTCTGGATAATCTAATTGATGAATGTTTTTTTCCACTCGAATGCTGATTACAGTAAACTTTCGAATCCCTGGTTTTATTCTCGCACAGGATATCCTTTCTTTATATTTTTTCCACAAGTTAAATGTTAAATTATCCTCTCTTTCGAAATTGGCCAATGACGCCTAATTTTTTTAATTTAAAATGTATTTTTTTAAGTAAATTTATATTTTATACGTGTACTTTTAATAATTGTGTACTTTTATATATTATTTAGTAATTGCATTAACTTTATGTAATTGGGATAATGTCCTTTTATATGTTATATTAAAATTAATGTAATTATAAAATATATTATCATTTTTTCTACTATTCTAAGAATTGAGTGACACCTTATTTTTTCATACAATTATAATTATAATATCAATATGTTTACTGAGGTTTTATAATATTTTCCTGCCTGATAACTCCAACATGTTCCTGGTTTGTGGCCGAAGCCTTGCGCCCGCGCACCTTCTATTGACGCGTGGCGTTATTCAAGAGGCGCTGTCATGCGAATCCACAGGAAATTAATTCAATGTATCCTAGTGGTCATATGGATCACCAGCACCGAACCCAAGTCCGTACCTGTCTAGAGCGCGGACACGAGAACCGTGTTGGGTACCGCAACTTCCACTGGGTCTTGTGGTTGTATTACTACCTTGCAATTATCCCGACAGCAGCCACTACGTTACAGCCGAAGTAGGCGCCTCAGTCTTGTGGAGCACAATATCCGAAGCGGCAAACTGGTCCGGTGTGCGGTGGAACTCTCTCCCGTGGAATTAACTGGGTTTTAACTAACGTTGGGTGCTTCATTCCTTCCACTGTTCTGGTCACCTTGGTCACAACAGTTATACTCCATTAAATACATTTATGTATCCTTCTTGGTAAATTAAAAGGGTTTATTTTTCAAATGTATCCACTTATTGGAATTTTAACTGGACACATTGTACAGTGGTCGCCGCTTATAGTGATTACATTCGTTCGAGAGAACTGTGATCATTATAACCGGAAATCACTATAAGCGGCGATTCGAAAATACATTTTACTACTATACTATACAAACTGTACACTGAACGACGGACGAAAACAAACTGGGTATAAAGTGTAAAAATATTGGTGCTTGTGAGAACAAAAACGGTATCAAACATGTACGAATGTACGATATTAAGTGTCGCTTATTACGTGTGGGTTACATTAGATAAGATTAGCTCAATTATAGTTCACGATTAAGATAATTGTCATTCGTAATCGTTTTCCCTATATACAAAAAGAGGTGATATTATTGTAAATTATACTTATATTTTATATTTCTGATGATTATTTCTAATCACAATAACCGAAAACCTGAACACTGTAAGCAACGAAAAATGCACTTATTACGGCTGTTTATTCCGTTCCAGGCATTATTGATCACTATAAACGGCTGATTCTTATAACCAGTGAACACTATAATCGTTGACCACTGTAGTACTTTCTCATAAAACGAACCCTATTGTTTCTTTAAAACGTATTCACCTATTTGTTTTATTTATAGTTAATTTGTTAAATAAAATAGCTAAATTAAAAGTTGTTCGGTTGATTTTTAATTTAAAAAAAAAATAAAACGTACTTTTTATAATTAAGCAGGTCGGTCGACCTGGAAGCCGAATTATAATATTATAATAATACGTGATAATATGCCGGAATTGTCGACTGCAGAGTGTGATCACATTGGATTATTTATTAATTAGTATGTATTTTCATTTATATTAAACTCATGACGATGGTGCCACAACATACTAATAATAAAATGTAATAATATAATTTATATGTGCCGAAACCGAAATGAACATAACACATGCATTTAGATATATATACACTCAGAAAAAAATATCATTTAATTAATGAAAAACGTATATTAAATTAATAAAAAAATGGTATGATTTTGATCCAATGAAATCAATTCATTATAATAAGGTAACTGATTTCATTAATTTAATGAAGCTGAAAATTCTTAATAAAAGTAAATTTTACATTAAATTAATTATGACTTTATACAGTTTAAAGAAATTATTTCTTTAATAGTAAGAAATCATATAATAGAAACAAATATAAATTGTAATGAAATTTATACCTATTAGGTAATAAAAACAATACATTTTCTAGTTAAATTATTTTATTTTATTCATTCAATAAATTTAATTAATAGTACACATATAATTAACATACATTTTACATATTATTATATTATTTTTTAATTACATATACAGTACAAAATATTTATGTTTAACAATGGTAAAATTAAATATGAGTACCCTAATAAATAAATAACTTTTTTTTGGTACATGATAATAAAAATAACATATATGAATAAAAATGAATGAATTAAACGCTCAAAAAAGTATATTACATAATACAAAGAAAAAAAAATTATTACAAAATTAAAAATAATTTTTCAACCTCACAACAGCTTCATTAGCAGGCAATGTGTAAATATGAATAGAGGGGCTATTACATGAAGAATAGAATATCCTTTGGATAATGGTTTTTAATTTATTAAATTCATAACGTTGAAGTTGGTAATATATTCAGTAAAGTTTAAATATAACTTAATACCAATAGATAGAGGAGTGTTTATTCTTGAATTAATATTTTTTTGAATAGGATTTAAGTTCACGATGTTTTGATTCAAAATTATAAGTCAACAAATATTTTAAAGGACCACTTAGTTTAATTATGTTGCAATAGTATGTAAGAAAATGATGCTTTTGTTTTAAACAGTCATTAAATAATTGCACATATTTAGTAGGTATTGTGATAAGCAATGCACTTTTCAAGTTTAATAATATCTTTATCATCAAAATCTGGTAGTAAAATAAGATCTGTTATTTCTACAAAATTTAATAAAAATAACCACACTTCATCATTTTCAGGTACCGTATCACCAATAATTAAAGGGAAAAAATGAATGAAAGTTTGCATTTCTCTAGCAAACATTTTGATTGATAACTTTTTTGAATTCAATATTGTAATAGGTCCTGACAAATTATATATTAAATAATAGAAAACAAAATTTTAATTATGGAAGCTCTGAAATTGGTAATTTGTCAGGAATTACCAATTTCAGAGCTTCCATAATTAAAATTTTGTTTTCTATTATTTAATGTTTCTAAATTGAAATACTTTAAATCAATCAATTTTAATATAATATTCTTCTTCTTCTTCAGTTATTATAGGCCATTAAGGCCCATCACAGCTCCACACAGCCTCCTCCATTCCTCTCTGTCATTCGCTAATTCTTCCGGGTTATTAACCCCAAGTATCCTAAAAATCTGGTTTGGTTCGTCTATCCACCTTTTCTTCGGTCTGCCCAATAGTCTCTTGCTTTCCGGTTTCCACTTAAGCGCGTCCTTCATTAGGCCATTCGATCTTCATACATGTCCAAGCCAGCTCATTATCTGCCTTAAAGTGTTTGTATAATGTCCTCCTTAACCCCTATATTATAATTTCCTATGTCTTCATAAATATCATGCATGATATCTACAGAAAAGTTGTCAACAACATGGAATAAATTAACTGTGTTAAATATAGATTCTTCATAAATTCCTGTTAATTTACTATTTTTTTTTTGCAACATCTCCATTATAGTTTCTTTTATTTTGTAGAGATTTAATAACTTCATTTGAAAGAATCTATGTTTCTTTTTTATCATTTTGACAAAACCTACAAAAATGAGTGGCCAAAAATGATTTAGAAAAGCCAAGTGTAGTATTATACTAATCTAACCAAATTATCACCAATGATCAATCCTAGCTGAAAAAAAATTTGAACGGTTTCAGACGAAAATTCGAGAATTATGCCATTTCTTTGCAAATGATAAATTTTTTCAATCAATTTAAAAAAAGTTATATCATTTACGATTTGTTTAACCTCTCTTGTATTAAAAATAGCAGCTATGAATATATGTTTTAAATTTGATCTTAAATAATGAGGAGCTGTAGGAAATTAATAATAGACACTTAATAATGATGATGACGATCTAGGACATTTCGACGCGAGCGAAACGCTCGCGGGCTTTTCGGCGCCAGATGTTATTTTCTAAAATTGTATACACTATACTAATAAGTTATAACATTCGTACTGCTCTACCTTATCGCAGTATAACTTTAATAAAAACACAATAGCTTTATCGTCTTGGATTTTTCACATACTATTATCTAGTTTTGTTTATATTGGAACCGGTGATACTAAGATAATTGCGTGATCACGTGATCACTGATCAGTATTCCTTCTACTTCGGTGAAGTTATATTATTTTACGTCTACGTTTATTTATAGTCAATTGTATTTCATAATGGAAACATTTCGCAATCGAGAAATCTTTGTTCGCGATGGGTACATGTATATTTTTAATAAGTTAAGTACGGACGGCAAAAATAAATTTTGGCGGTGTCGTTATAAAGATTTATGTAAAGCTAGAATACATACTTCAATTGAAACGTCAAAGGTAATTTAATACACTTTATTCACACATATTTGTAACTAAAAGATAATTTTTCGATTTAGTTATATGTACATATTATATATATTTTGTATATAAAAGGTTGTAAAAAAAATAAATGAACACATGACTCATGATTGTAAAATGTATGGACATTCTGTCGGATGAATTACCAGAAGAAATCTTATCCTTGTTAGACGAAATGCACGTTTTCCTCCAAATTTGTGGAATGTCCACGAACGAGTTTTAAATAAAAATAATAGAACTAATAACTATGCCGAAGCCGCTAATAGACGACTCAATGTTTAAATGGGAGTTACTAATCCAACACTATGGACTTTTATATCTTGCTTAAGAAAAATACAGAGTGGTCGGAATACTTTTTATTGCCAATTAGAAACTGGTAAAAGCCCACCGAAAAAACAAAAAAAATTTTTGGATGTTGATAAGCGAATCTTTAAAATAGTTAGCAATTATAATAATAGGGACATATTAATATTTTTAAGAGGTATCGCTCATAATTTAAGCATGACACATTAATATACTACATATTTATGATATTGTATTATTAATTTTATATTTATTATTTATTAAGCACGACATTGTCATAACGACATTTAACATAACAGACCTATTTTATTATTTATTTTATATTTGTTATTTATTAAACAGGATATATTGATATTTTATTAAAATTGTAAATTTTTATACAATATCTATAAAAGTGAATTATAATATTAATTTTATAGAAGTAAATTTGTTTATTGTGTAAATTAGTGTAATCCAGCGCCAAAACATACCTCGCGCCGAAATGTCCGTGTCCGTGATGATGAATGTGATCCAAGTGCATTGTTGATTTCAAAATTCTCAAAGTATAAAAAGAAAGGAATCACAAGTTTTTCATTGAACTGCAATTTTTTTTGTTTTCAGAGTTCACCATTAATAAAATTTGTATATTTAGTTTTAGCCAAGCAGTATAATCTAAGCAATATATTTAATAAGCAGTATAATCTAAAAATGGATCCAAAATGCCAGGCAATTCAACCTTCATTTTATGAATATCTATAGTATTAATATTATTTAGAACCAAATTCTGCACCTTATTATCTAATGTAATAATACTTGGTTTCCTAAATACATTTTTACTTTCTAAATAATTTAACATTTTATATTTAAAATTTATTTCTTTAAAAGGATCTTTACAAAAATCACTTATTACTTTAAGAGATTCTATTATTTTACTATCATTTGTATTCAAAATTAGTTTTTCAATTTCATTTGAAATACAAGACGTTAATATTTGTAATACATTGAGTTGCAAAGCCACTGCATCCTTTTTAGAAAAATTTGGTTTAGCATAATAAAATAAAGATAGTTTTAAAGAAGATTGTACCAAAGATTGCAAATTCACAAAATGTGAATTATTGTTTGCTACTTGATGAAACAAGAGTAAAATTATCAATGTCATTTATAGAAGTTGGAGGGGGAAGTATTTAAATTATTTGACAAACAACTATAATTTAGTATAGGCTTTATCAAATACGGTTCTAGACCAAAATAGCGAAACCATTAACCGCGAATACATTAATCGAAAATTGATAATAGCGAAAGTGAAAATAGTGAATTCTAAAATAAGCTATTATGCATAATAGCGAAACTGCAGTTTTTTATCATTTCTATTTTGAATACTATAAATTTTAATATAGTACTTGGATAAGTTTCAAAACATATAAAACTACAACCTATTTTATTAATAATTAGTATTTTTAATAATATAGTAAATATTCTTTAACAGGAAGCCACTATATGGACATTTTTTTAATGTAATAAAGAAAATTCGAAATTTAGAAGAATTAAAACGAGAACAGTACAATGCCATAAAACAACTAGAGATAAAAAAAAAATGTGCAAGGACTGTGTTGAAAGATTTCATCCGTTAATTACAAATTATAACACCAATGATAATAAGATCTTTGCAAATGATATAGCATATAATTTTCACTAAATGCCTAATTGTTTTTTCAAAATTATCATCACAAAATCGTATACTTTCGCTATTATATATTTTCATTCTTTTGTAAAATTCGCTGTTTTTATTTTCGCCATTATTAATTCGCAATTTTGACATTTGCGGTTATTTTTTCGCTATTTCAGCCGAGTACCATCAAATACACGATAACAATCATTGACGGTCGGAATTTTGCTATTTATAGACGTAAATAACATCAAACTATAAATAAAAACATAATGATAATGATGATTGTATTATAGTATATAATAATATAATATTAATACATAAGTACTTATAATATATAATTATAGTTTTTGGTGTAAAAAAAAAAAACAATAAAAAAAATACTGATATTTCCTCTAAAAAAATTTCAAAAAGTAAAAAAAACCTGTCCAAAAAATGCACTGATATCAACATTGCCCAAGATTTTAATTTACGAGATACTTCAACTATTTCCCTATACTTTTCTTTTCTTCTTAGTTATAAATATTATCATTGTACCTGCTTTGTTTCTATATAACTATCCAATACTTAGCGTCTGATTTTAATACTGATGTCTGCTTAATGTGTGTATTTTAGATGTTTTTAGATGTTTTTTTTAAATGTTTAAATCAGCCGTCAAGTATTGGATAGTGATATTGAAACAAAACAGGTACAAAAATAATATTTATAACTAAGGAGAAAAGAGAGAAGCTTAGGAAAATGGTTGAAGTACCTACCTCATAAATTAAAAGCTTGGGCAATATTGATATCAATGCATTTTTTGGACAGGTTTACTTTCGTTGTAAGAATACAAAAGTTCTAATTTTGAGCTTGGCGTTTTTTTACTTTTTGAAAGTTTTTTTAGAGAATTATAGATACTACCATGAAATCATAACAGAATTCAACTTACAAACATTTCATTGTAATAAAAATGTACAATTTTAACTGAAAAATACTGTAAAATCTCGAATAAAATAATTAGATTTAATTAGTAAATTATATCAGCCTGATAGCTGTTTGTTGATTTTTATGTTAAAATGCCCTATTTGGAGTTTATATTATAAGGTTGTTAGATTATTGCATTGTTTTTAAATTATTTAGACCGTTGTCTGTGTACACAATAACAATAATATATTTATAATATAAATCAGGTGAGTACAACATTGATTGTGGTTATATTAAATACTTATGATATAATTGTTTCTCTTAATAAAAAACAAAAAATAGATACGATTTATTATGATAATAATCATCAAAGCGTAGGTACCCTGTACACGGTCGTTGAGCGCATTGATTGAATGTTTCCTAATGAATTGTTAATTGCACGCAGGAAAAATCAAAGCCCTTGAACGTGAATGACTATCGCCGTCCTTATCGGTCCGCTGTAATGTCCACAACATTCGTACGACGCATATATCTGAATATACAAATTATATTATAATGCGAACATCTGCTGGCTCCCCTTTGAATAAGCAATGCAAATTCACATATTGACACCATTAACCGTTACTATCTACATTTGAATTCGTATCAAACTACCACAGCCGGTCTAGCAAATATTTCACAAATATACGCGGCTCGCACTTGTCGATTGTCGACGGTCGCGTGGTTCACATACATACTTGCAATATCTCTTGGTAAGCCGGCACAATTCATTGAAATTAAAAATACCAAATGTAAATATTTTTGATTCTGGAACAGGTACTGGATTTTTCTGTTCAACAGTTCAACGCTTCGTTTAAGAGGTTTATTTTATTCCAGTATAATTGAGTACAGCACTCAACAGTCGTACGAAAATCGTAAGCTTTTAAAACAATATATAATTGGATCCATTAACTGCTATAAGAAGTAAGTTTTTAAGACACATTATTTTCTTAGGAGATCGTTTTTCAAAAATAATTATGGTTTAATTTTATTTTGTGTAACTGATACTTCAATGCATGATGATTTGTATAAAACATTTACTGCGGTACATAAGCTATAGCTAAAAATTATTTTTTCAAATAGTTCTATTTCTAAATTCTAACTAATATAACAACTATTTTAGATCCATTCGGAATGTATATGACACCTGTTATATTTATTACATTGGCTTGCCTCAGCTTTTCTCGAAGTAAGTTTTGCCGGATGCCTTAACGATTTACATTGCATAGTACATAGCATAATCAATGCATAATAATTTAAATATTAATTTTTAATTTTACAAAAAAAAAAAAAAATATGAAGTACAATTAGACAATTATTTGACATGAAGTATTTTATTGTCTGAAACATGTATTTATCGATGTATTTTTACCATAGGTAACAACAATATTAATATGCATTGGGCAGTAGTCAGAAGTTATTCTGTTCGAATTCGTACCTACATCAAAATAAAGCATTCAAAATATTAATGAATTATATAAATATTGTTTTTTTTGGTTTACATTCAAAGTAATATTAATCTTTTGTTCAAATCGAATGCTTTATAATTGATTTTTTACGAAATAAGTTGTTATAACCAAACTCTATTTAAATATAAAAATATTTAATTAAATAGTTTTAATGATATTAATTAAAATAAAATATAATGTAAAATCAATAGTTCTTTCCTGGATTATTTTTGAATAATATGTGCAAATATTTACAACTGGTTCAATTACCAAAAATATTAATCATTATCATTTATAAAAATTTACTTTTATATTTTATTTGTACTGATATTAAATATATTTAATAGTTTCTAATAAATAATTTATATATTTATTAATACATTATTATTATTTGTTAAAATCATAAATTTATAAATTATTCATTTTAAAAACATTACCAAAATTGATACATAATTTTAAGTTGTATACTGAACCATGAACATATTATAAGTATAAAACTTAAAGTGCACTACACACTAGGTGGTTTATCCGCGCGCGAACGCGATTAAAAACCTTCAAGATTATTCGTTGAGATTTAAACAGTCGTAATTAAATCAGTGTATTCACACTAAAAAAAAATCGAGCAGTTGGAAACCGCGGACGTCCGTGTTCGATTGCGCATGTTTATTTTTATGCGAACATCACCTTTAACCGCTAAAATCAAATACATTATTTTGACTGAAATTACTTACACCAAACGTTATATTCGTCATACGTTGATACGGTTTTTTGTGGGTTCAGGCGTTTAAAAACACATTTATAAGCGAAAAAAACAATTAGTGTGGAATGATGGGCGATAGGCGATTGTTAATCGCGTCCGTGCGTGTATAAACCACCTAGTGTGTAATGCATTTAAAAAATATAGTTTTTAGATTATAACTTACAAAATTATAATAATAAATTAAGTTTTAAAATATCTTAGATCATGTAATATTTATAAATATTTTATAATGCGCAAACAAGTGTTTATAAATTTTATTTTTTTACCCAAAAAACTGAGGATAAGACCTTATATACAATAATTTGTTTCATTAAAATTTAACAAATGTCAAAATTCGTTATAATTTAAATCTATACAAAAAAAAAAAAAAACTATTGATATCAAAAAAATGAGAAGGTTCAATATTTAAGGTATTGCACTTTAACAGGATAAGCGATAAGAAAATAAATAAATTTAATAAATTGCATGCTTATCTTTCCATTATTATACGACCGCGCGAAAATGCAATACAAGTTATTTAAATAGTAAAAAAACTGTTCGTTTAAGGCATTTGTGCCAAATATTTATTGATTAGTGAGTTATTTCTACTTCTTCGTTTCAATCGTAATGCCTTATGATCAGGTTCCGAGGACGAGGAAAACAGCAGAATGGCTGGAAGGAACATGCAGTCGGCTATGGACAAAGTAATGAACATAGTACAAAGCGTTGCAGGTCGTAATCCCGCCGCCGAGTCGACAGCGGGGAACGGCGGTTCACTGATTTCTCAGTCCGGTGGCCCAACTGAGAGCCTCTCCTCTACTGCAGGACCCGTAACTCCCGATTACGCTGTCGTGAATCCAAAACCGGTCCAAAGTCCAGGATCCAATGTCAAAATCCCGGAGAGCGGCTGTTGTTGCATGGACTACATCCGAGAATTTTGCGAAGGTTAATAATATCGTTATCATGTGGTATGTTTCGGTCATCGGTCGACTTTTTGTTTTTCGATTTTTTTTTTTTTTTTTTGTAATATTTTTGTTGCTAATGCAACAACAACTTCGATAACATATCGAGAAACGAAAAGTCGTTACGATGTATGTACGGGTTTTGAGTTTAGTTGAAACAATAAATAAATAATTATGCATTGTATTTATTTATTTTTATTTTACCGGATTGTCACATAACGATTTATGAACTAACAGTGCCATAGTAGTGCAGTGACTAATATTACAGTTTGTATGTACAATCATACAAATCGGAAAACGCACAGATTAACAAATTAGAATATAGTTTATTTGTTGATTTAACATAGCATTTAATCATAACACGCAAGGTTGAGAAGCACGGAGAAATATAATACATTATGCCCAAAATAGTGAATTTTTTCATTGAGGAAAAGATTTATACAGGAAAAAAAACTTCATGATCGCCTGGAAATTCACGGTAAAACTGAAATGATTGAGGTCGAGTTAGGGGAAGAAAGCTACAAGTTAATTGTTTTATTTTTATTTTTTATTGTTTTATTGCTCTTTATAACATTCCTATACGTTATCAATTAAGCTCGCAACAAAATCCCATAATGGTTCACAAGTTAATGATTTTAATTACTTTTGATATCGCAATCTCTTAGACACGACGAAAATCAGTTGTATTACGCTATGATAAAATAAATATTATCCACATTAGGTGGAATCTACTGTATTTTATTAGTTGCATATAAATGTACAAAGATATAACATTTTTATTTAAAATTTCAGCCTTTTAAATTTTAATTTTAATATATTTTTTTTATCATTTTTACCATTGAACGTTAGGATGGGATCATAAGATAGTATTGCGCGCACTCGGACACCTATATTCCGCACAGACAGAGGCGGACTGGCTAGGGAGGCAAAGGGGTGATCACCTCCTGGGCTTCAATAGTTTCATATTAATTGCGAGTATACCTACAAAATCAGTGGTTAAAGTGGTGAAAATGTTGTGGGGGGACTTATTCATCAAAAATTGAAGAGCGTTCCCCTTCCTAATTTTAAATCTTACCAACCTTTTTTGGAAAACCCATGACGTCTAAGACTCTTGTTACACATATATGTTCATAAAAATTTTATTTTCATTGGGTGTAAAAACAAATTTCCCCCAAAGAAAAATAATTCTTTACATGCCTGCTCAAAAAAAATAATTTGAAATACATAGTAGGTAATGTTTAAAAAACTTAACTTAAACTTAACTAAAATTAAAAGAATCAATTACTAACCTTGCTAGTTGTTGGTCATCGTAGACAGTAAAAAATACGTACATTGCACTTAAGGTGTATACAGTCTATATAAGATAGTGTCTATCCTCTATCATAATTTAATATTTATACTATTTATAGTTATTCTTTTCTGTTTATATTTATTCTAAATAATAGTCGATATCACCATCACTTTAATTTTAGAGCTATGGGTAATAACCGCTCGGGGATCATCTATAATTAGACACAGCGTCAATTAAATTAACCCATGATGTTCATTATCTACCATATTTTCTTATCGATATACTTAAATATTATTTCTCCGAAATTTTTTTCACTTGTTTAAATAAATCAAGAAATGAAAAAGACTCCGTCCCTCTCCGCCCCCTCCACTTTACCACTGTACAAAATGTAATATTAAACTATAATGGTAAAACACCAATCATTTATTATTAGAATATCGGAATTCGTACGAATTGAGCACAGTTAAATAAAAATATTAATTAAAATGTAATAATAATAGGTCCAGTTGACTATCCCCCCCTCCCGGCCCCTCGATACTTAGTCCACCCCTACCCACAGGGTCGGATCTAAAGCTTTTTTAAGGGGGGGGGGGCTAATAGGAAATTGTAATTTACTATTATTTACTATTATGAAACATGGTAGGTACAAAGATATATAAAATATTCGATGATAAATATTTGTAAGTATTTATTATATATATTTGTTTGACTGTGTATCTATATCAAAAACATTAAATAAATCGGTGATAAAGAAAAAAAAAAAATTCAAAGGGGCAATTTTCGCTCACTCCCCATAAATCCACCCCTGATTTCGTGCGTACCAATACCAGGCCCGTACTGACCACCCCTAAGAAACTCAGAAAAAAAATATTTATATGGTGCCAATTATATTTTTATATTTTAATTTCAAAAGAAACAATGGGTAGACATGGTCTACTCTTGATTGTTTTATTCACAAGCCACCGCCCGAATATGTTAAACGTACGAGAACATAATTTATTCTGCGATTTTTAACAAAATACCAATCGGAATAATATGTTTCATAGTAAAAAGGCTAAGAAAATAAATTGCGTTCTTACTTTAAATATTTAATTATTTATTTACCCCTTAAAGAAAAAGCCAGATTCCGCAGCCCCCCTTCCCCGTGCGCACGTCTATGCGTATACCTTTTGTCAGTGGCGTATTTAGGAATTTCAAAGTAAGGGCAACACATATTTTGCCCCCCCCCTTCCAGTCAAAAAATAAAATGTTGTTACTAATTAATATTATTTTTTAAAACCTTTAAAAATTTAAATATTTTTCTTCCTTGATTCAGAACTAACAAAATCATTAATTATTTCTTCAAAATCTAATAAAGTGGTTTTTTCAGCTTCAATTGTTAATACCGCTAAAGCCAAACACCGGTCTTGTGCCATTATAGAGCGAAAATAGTTTTTTTTATTTTTTTTAGTGTGGAAAAAGAACGCTCTACACTATAATTTGTGGATGGTGTATACAAAAAAATATGTAAAGCTACTCCAGTATAAAGATAAACACTATTAAAATTATGTTCTCTTATAAACTGTAACATCTGTATTGTTGTAAGCTTAACTTCAATATTTTTTATATAGCCTTAAAATTGTACACACTCATTTAGAAAACATATTGCTAAATCATTTACGTAAGTTGTATCATTGTGTAAAGTACGAAATAAAAATTGTCCGCCCCTCTAAATCTTTAAAAATATGCCGCTCTGGGCAACGGGACCCATGACCCCTATCTAAATACGCCCCTGCCCTTTGTACAATACCGTGCATTACAAAGCCGGGTACACACCGGTGTATAATGTAACTGAAATGCACAAGTGTGTATGGTGTACCGTTCGCGCACGCTCGGCTCGTGATTGCCATCGGTTCACAAGCGTATTGGTATTTTGACGAACATCGGAGGAATGTAACATTGCGATATGTGTAAGCGCGTACTCAAGGGGGGGGGGGGGGGTTAGGGTTTCAAACCACTCCCGAAATTCAGGAAAACTATTGAATATGTTTTCATATATTTAAAGTGATACACAGATTATATAATTATGAAAATGTACAACCTAAAACCCCTCCCGAAATACTTTTTTGTGTACGCGCCTGGATACGTACGGTAAACCAGTTGTTCGTAACGAATTGCGTCCTGATCATTTTACCTCTACAGGACTATTTTAATGAAACGTGTTTTAATTGTATTATTTAAAAAAATGGATCATGTAAAGCGAACTCGAATTCTGTCACGTTACGGCGAAACATTACGTCTAAATGCTCTGATGTGTACCCGATTTAAGGAATCGGTACATATTACAATTATAGTGATTATATGCAATGCGCGTGATATTACACTATTTTACTTTGCTACACTTTGAATCGTACTCATTAGCCCATTCATCGTCATCAACGGTATCGATTTGACCTGAACCTTCCACACGCATTCCTTAAACCGACTACGAATATTAAAGGCCACGATGTAGCAAAATAAATAAATTCAACATTGAGCTTCGACTGATCTATAGAGGGTAACCGTTCACTTATTTCAACGTACACATTAAATGATTACATTCTAATAGTCTAGTGGGCAAATGCACTAGGGACGACTTCATAAATAATTTTAATATACTTAGGACTTACGGACAGCGAATCTTATCTCATATACAGTTGTCGATAGTTCACGAAGAAATGAGAAAATATTATTTTCCATCACGATATAATGGTATTACTAATACAAAAACGTGCATACAGACCATACTTTAGTGTCCACGAACTATAATCGTGTCCATCCGACTACGACGTACTTCATAGTTGCGTAATCATATACTATATTAGACGGGCGTCCCGTAGAAAAACCAAAATAGGAGCGACGACCAATGTACCTAAACGTTTACATCGAATGCGGTGTTCGGATTTAAAACAAAACAAACACTTGCAACAGTACCTACATCGTCGGAATGTAATAAAAATCAACAAATTTATTATGCTCGTAGGCAAGAGGTACGTATATCTGTGTAAACATCGCCGTACCTATTGTGTGAGTATCTTACGTTTTATGTTCCGGTAGATTGCACAAACCCATTAGTGGTAATGAGGGGGTACACAATAGTCGCACACACTTTTTTCTTCTCGCCAAAAATTAGTTCTACGCGCCACTGAATGCACCTGATATAATGCGGCGTTACAACCATCGGGATTTCAGTAATTGTGTGGAGCGAGCGTGAAACACTCCTTGGAATTCCTTAAGAAACGCACAAGATGTATTGCGGGTGAAGTTCACGTCAAATAATCGAATACCTAGGTATTTAACATTATTATTGGGTCGTGAAAGCTCAAACGTTTCGGAAACGGCTGTTCGACAGAATACAAACACATGATGGACCCGTGCAAGATTTCTACGAGTTCAAAAAATTAACATCGAATGCTAGGCAGCGCCGTGTTAAGGGGAAAGGGGCAGAGAGTAAATTTCTGTTTTGACATTTTTAAACCTATATATATATATAAATGGTGTGTAATTACAATTTTTTTAGAAGAATTATTAATCATTGAAAAATGTCCGTGACAAATAATAATAGTAACACAATATTACATCGCCTACCGCAGAATTATCAGATGAACGTTCAGCCTTAAATTAGCAAAGCTCGTATGTTACACATCGACCGATGCAATGTTAATTTCGTTCGAATTATTTTTCGAGTGTAAATTTTACGCAATATGTCCACAGCAGTAAACACACCGACACGTAATCGTATGATTGTATTATACAAGTAATTCGAACCATCAGATTATTGAATTTGACACCACCGATTGTTTTTTTTGTTATTCTATCGCCATACGACTTTTGAGTCTCGGAGACCGTAATCAATACGAGCGAGTGGAAAACACGTTAAGCAGTGTCGAACTTAGGTACCCAATAGTCTCAAAACATTATAACCACCGAAGTTGCGAAAAAAACAAATCAACTATAAACCTTTGACGCTGTTGTTAGTTGCATAACTTTTTTACGATGGGTATAACGGTTCAACAGGGCCGTGCCTAGAGGGGTGCTAGAGGTGTGTGTGCACCGGGCGCCAAAAGCTTTTTCATAACCTAAGTAACTTTACTGAAAGTTAACCGTATAATTTAATTAAAAATATTTAACACGTTTAATATCAAAGTCTACGCGTAGTCGACATCATTATCATTGTCTTGATCGGCGATGTTGCTAGTTTATTTTTAGTACTGGTATTTATTTTTGCCCCGAAATCGGCGATACGACAAATTAACAATAATATACCATTTATATTATATTATTATTGTTACTTGATATGATTAATTTAATAACATCAATAACATAAACGAACATCGACTTGATCGAATGGTACGATTTTATTTTGAACCCGTATATGATAGTGTTCACATCATAGTTCATGAACGCAGAAGATGCATAGGTACCTAATTATTTTTCATCGGCAGTTATTTAAAAACGCAAGTTATTTTTTGTGCACTCGAATAAATTTAATTTGTAAATAAATTATATCGGTTTAGAATGATAAGTTATTATCAACATGTTTTGTTCTACCTATAGTTATTTTTTATAGTTTTTTTTATTTATTTTTATTTAAAGAGCTTTTAGAAATACTATTAAGCTCGACAATTATAATAAAATACATCGATTAATTAATTAAAATACAATAGATAAAACATAGGGCAAAAAAATATTAAAATAATAAAAGTTTATATACAGAAATCAGCTTCGTAAATAAAGGAAATAATTAGAATGAAAACAGATTTTGAAATTTAGAATGCTGGAAGTATTGAATGGTTATTGAGAGACTAATTAGGATACCTACTGTGTTTGGTAGAAAACATACTGTTCTTTAGTCATTGATTATTTATTTTATTAATACATACAAAGATAATTATTATTATATACTTAATAATTACAAAATAAGTAACCCATTTCAGTATTACTCTACTAGAATTAGACTCCGTCCTCAAACGTTTCCAATTTGTCTTTGTGTAATCAATTATCATAATTTTACTAATATTATATTTCTTGTCGTATAAATGAACAAGTTGTGTTTTTATTTCAACTGTCATCGTCTAACCTTCTATCGAAGCGGAGCACTGACCGAGTGCCGTAACCGCTGGACGTCGTTAAGCAATTTGAATCCGTGCACGTACTCCAATTTCGCGGAGTGGAAGTAGTAACGCGGAGGCGTACTGCAATAGGTTTGCGGCATATTAAAATCGGCCACCAGGTGACACATTCGTCAACCCGGCACCGGTGCTGTAGAGCGAAACCAACTGCGTTCATAGGCGCAATTAGGGGGGCGCAATAGGGTTTTAAGCACCCCTGAGTTCAATTGCTGAACTCCTGGTTTTTTTTTTTTTTAAATCTATTTAATCTATAGTAATTACAGTTATATACCGTCCAATTTTATTTTCAGCAATTTCAGCACTCCCATTACTTGGGCTCGAGTTACGCCTACGACTGTGTCGTATGTTCGAAGTTCGCTGCATCGCGAACCGTGGCCGGTTCATAAAGTCGATGGACCGCCGAGAACTGCTGCAGTTAGTTATTCAGATAGTAATTGTTCGTCGAATTCAAGTCCGATTTCCTATTGTTTAGTATCGCAGAACATTAACGACATTGACGGGAAGTTAACATCTCTGTCGGGGTTTTTTTCCTCCCATAATCACGCGTCGTAGACCGACGCGCGTTGCCATTGGTTCGCCTCCACTATTATCACGCCTCGCGTTATCATCGCTAATGGTTAATAATCGCTTTCCGTGCGGCGCAAACAAAAATCAACTACCACACGCTCAGGTGACAAGGCTTCACGCGATCGATATTTTGCACTTTTGTCGCACGCGATTCTCGTTCCCCAGTTTCGTATTGACCGTAATCGTTCTCGTCCGGTGATCTACGCGATCCGCAAGGCCAGCTGTACGCCATCGGTCGAGTGAGAACGGATCATTGGATTGTCAACAGTAGTGCCCGTGACGAGCAAGTACCGAACACGATGTGCGATTTCAATGTAAAGGAAGAAAACACGTCCGAAATGAGCGAGATTAAAACCGAGGGAGACGTTGACCCTAAGGCATTGGACGACATGAACCAACACGTGAGTTATCTGTGTGTGCCTAACCATGGACGTGATTAGGATCGTTAAATGTACAAGGCTTGTGCAAAACAATTTTCGAGAACAAAGTTGATGGGGCGTTTTTATTGTACACACGATATACATACCTAAGGGACCAGCTGACTCAAGGAGGCTTATATGATTTTTGCACATTTCGTATCGGTCCACGATTCGCTGGTAAAAGTGTTTGGTCGTTTCTGAGGTTATGATTTTTTGATGCATGTTAAAGTGGTTTGTCAGCATAGATAAACTGGATAGTATGTAGATATATATGTAGATAGATTGCAAAGTTTAAAACGGTGCTTGCTGATACTGTCTATATTTATCACTAAATATATATTTTATAAAATTAACTGAATATTGAAGACAGACACTTTTTATAAACAATTTATATTCACCAAATTCATTAATTATTAGAAATTATTACAGAAATAACAAACAAATTACAAATTTTGTATTTTACTTTTTTATTGTACATAAACTGAATCAATTTTATTAACATTTATGTTGATTGGTAACAAATCTGTTTAATAAAAAATTTTACAATGAAAACGATGTTTCTACTTTTTTTTAAGTCAGTAACTAATATCAGTAGTTCTTAATCTTTTGTAGATCATAGACTCCTTATGAAAATTTTTTTATAAATCACGGATCCCATTTTAAATCATTTTCCAAATACATTTTTTTTTTTACAAAACATTGTTTGTTTTAAAATCAAAATTATAATAACTATTTCATACATTAAATTAAATAAGTAAACATAAAAAAAACATACAAATTTATAATTATTTTTATTACACTTAATTTTAGTTAATTTAAATTTAATTATTTTCATTTTTTTTTTAAATATTCTTAAATTGATTTAAATTAAAAATGTAATATATTAAATTTTAATTAATTTTTAATTCAATTAAAATTAAATAAATTAAAATAATTTGTAGTTACTTAATGCGATGGTTGGTGTTGTACTTGAAACACAAGTTTTTGAATATTATAAATGAAGATAAGATCTATCCCTTTTGTAATAAAATATATTATATATGAAAAAAAATAATGATCCAACAGTATTGTACGTCAAAAGTGATATGAGTGCATAATTATCACATTTTGATGTGTGTTATGTATAAAAACCGGATTTAATTGATATTACAACTTTTTATTGATACCAGGTAAATCAAATCTGATCAAATATGTATACGAATCAGATTAAATACATTCTTCCTATTTAATTTAATAATGTAATTTGTTGCAATTTTCAACTATTTTGCAATTTTTGTAAACTTCATGTCATAAAGTACACAAACTATTATTTCTAAAATAAAAATATAACTACGACGTTAATTTTTAAATGTATTTTAGCATTTTTAAAATTATATTTATCTGAGTTATCCACAAAACTCACAAGTTTAGAAGAATCAAATAATCAGTTACTTAATAGTTAATAACTAGGTTAATAACATATTTAGTGAAATTGAAAATATTTTGATAAATATTCCTGGTTTCAATAGGAAAATAGTTAAAGATAAATTAAAATATGTCTTAGAAAAAATTAAGGATTTAAAACTATTAACACTTACTCTGAGGTTATGACAAGAAATCATAATATTTATTTAGATATAACACCAATTTATTTAAATTATTTTAAACTTGCATCGATAACAAGTGTAAACATTGAACATAGTTTTTCATTATATAACCATATTTTAAGTAACAGAGGATACAATTTTCAAGAACATAATTTAGAGATATATATAATTATAAATTTTAATTTAAAAAAAATTATTTATTTTGTAAATATTATATTAATGTCCATAGTATTATTTAAGTAAATAATTAATGAATATATTTGATATGATTTTACTATATAATTTTAATTTATTTTTCATTGCAGTAACATATTTATATTGCGATTTTAATTAATTTGTGTTGCAATTTTAAGATATTTTTAATGTAATTATATCCAGTCTTTAGTTATGTGTTAAGGCTCCCACAGATCACACATTAAGTACCGCTTACCTAAATAACTTAAATTTAGGGTGTTAACTCTGTTCTCTATCTAAAAAATTATATAATAAGTACATTTTTATTACTTGTTTATTGATCACATATATTTTCATATTTATATGATAAAAATATTATTGTATTAGCTTTAATCAAAGCTATGGAAATGGTTAGGTTTTTGTATTAGGTAATATATTTATTTCATCATATTTTGAATTATTTTATTTAAATTATTAGTTAAACAATTTTAAAGTAGCTAGAACATATGAAAAATAGAATAAGATAAAAAAATAAAAATAAAGAAAGAAAGAATAAGTAATTCAATTTAGTGATACTTTTATTTTTCCATATTTATAAATGATTTATACCAATTAAATGTGTAAATATACTTTATAAGAAGGTTTTAAAAAAATTTCTTATGCTTGAAATATGTAATCAATATTATATTAATTATTTTAAAAGAAAATGTTTTTATTTGTAATTGTTTGTTTATCATTTAATTTTATTTTAATGATATGTATATTTCTTTAGATTCAAAATGTCCTGCAACAAATGAGAGACAAATTCCAAACAATGTCTGAACAAATATTGACAAAAAATATCCTTTTTTCACTACATTTATATTTAAAATGTTTTGTGCAGTTTTTATTTTAAAATAATATTATGTTAAATTTATATTTTTCTTAATCAATAAATACTAGACGATATGGGTACACGTATTGATGATTTGGAGAAGAACATTACTGACTTGATGAATCATGCTGGTCTAGAGACTCCAGATAAATGATATTTACAATACTATCATATTACACGAAATGAATAGGTCCATACTTTGAATAATTTATTGATTTTATTACGGCCTATAAACAATATAAAACAAGGTAAATTTAAATGTGTCATAGTTTATAAATGTCTCAATTGTATGTGTACTTTTTATGTATAGTCTAGCTGTCTTCCGTTAAACTCATTAATTCTTAAAACTATACACACCAATAAAACATTTTTTACCTTAAACCAATTTTTTTTACTTATAAAATTTGTTATGTTTAAATTAAACATAATATTGTCATAAAAATCTTAAGAAAAAACAATTTAAAACCTTTTGAATTAATAAAATTGACTTACTAGTTTCAAATATTAATATTTTTTTTTAATTTACTATTATAGAATGTAACTAAGTTAACTGATTTGAATTACCTAAATTAATTAACACATTTAAGATAATTTTTTTTTCTAATAAAATATATTTATTTATAATTTTAAATGTATTGTATGTTTATCCTATTATGTACTTAGAAAAACTATTGGTTTTCAAGTTATTGAATAAGAAATTAAAAGTACAAATGTACTATTTTAGCATTGTAAATCTTATCAATTGTATTTAAATTGTGAAATATGATTAAAGCATTCTTAAAAAAGTCCATCTAATTAATGTTAAAACTAATTTAAAAATTGAACTTTACTCACAAAATTACATGGATACATATATATTAAAAGTAACAATTGTATAATTTCAAATGTTATGAATAAAAAAGAGGTATCGAAGAATAGATCAATATTTAATTCATAAAAATTTAAAAGTCATTTAATTATCATATACATATATGTATCTTGTGTTAGTATTATAAATAATTAGTATTATTATTGACAATAGAATTAATTTTGATTTTTTATTAAAATCATAATCTTCCTTGATAAGTGCCCTTGTATAGTTTTGCTTTATTTTATTATTTGTAGTTTAGAAATTGTTGATAAAGGTATTCAAAAACTCAATGGTTTCAGATTTTAGTGACAAGACATATTAAAAAACTAGAATTTGCATCATTGTTAACCATGTATTCTATATTTATAAAATTGTTATTAAATGTTTCCACTATATTTGTATTTTAATTTTATATAGTGATAGTGATTAGAAACATATGTTTCTATTAGTAGATTTCAGAAGTTATAAGGGCACAGTAATTCTTTCAATTAACTTTGAAAATAAGTATATTTGCACATAATTAATTTTAAAATAAACAAATAACTGATGATTTTATCAGATGAGATTAAAATAATTACCATAATTACTTTGTTATCTATAGATATGTCAATTTAAACTATACAATTTTATTCATGTTTAAAGTTCTGTAAAAAATATTAATACTAACAATAAAAAATGATTTAGACCTTTATTATTAATGTCGTTAAATGTAAAATATAAAACTCTTGGTTACTATTAACACAGATAATATGAAATTTTTTCATGATGTGTTCTTATGATTTCACGTTATCTATGCTATTAATTAAGTGTGTGTAATACAATATTACATTTATTTTAAGTTTTTGTTAGTGTTTCATTTTAATACATTCATATTTGACAGAGTTAAGAATCTTACGTTATGTCTTTATCACCATATACTACATGATGTTTTTGTTACAGCTCATTACTTTTACATATTTTATTAATGATGAATAAAATGAAATATATAACCTTTAATATTATCTTTATTTATAAATGTTTCTACTACCTGTAATAAATATATTAAATATAAAATCCTATACCACAAGTCTTATAAATATAAAAATAAATAATAGTCTTGAATATAGAAATTGTGTGATTTTATGCTTTATGTTTAAAAAAAAAAAAGAATTGATTTCGAGAATGAAGGGCCAAGAGATATAAAATTAACTGCAACAATTGAATAATTGTTAACTATTTGAAATTATCTTTTGGTTTAAGAGTAATAGATTTTACTGTAAAAGTCATAATATGCACCACAATATCTTTTTAATTAATGCATTACAAATAGTATAGAGCATTTGATTATTTGTCTGGCAATAATGATCTTATTAAACAATATTTTTACTATTAGAATAATAATTTTCATTGTATCCAAGAGTTAGGTAAGTAAGGATAGATATTTTATATATTATTTAGTCACTTTGTTGTTGGTGTTATTGGGAAGTTAGATTTTCCTAAATTACTAAGTTTATCAGTATGGTTTGTTGTTTACACCAAACACTTAAGTGTACACAGTCAAAACACAAAAATAAAGGTAAAACTTGAATTTTAGAAATCACATTACATTACCAAAAGACCTCCTAATTATCCTTCTTTTCTTTTTTATATAATAATTTATCTACATTAGAACATAAATGAAACATTTTTATTAAACATTATTGTTTTTTTTTTTTTTAATTTGCTTTTGAACATGATTGTTAAATTATTTTATTTGATCTACCAATAATTATTAACTAAGGAGATGTTTAAAAATAATTATTGTATAATGAATGATCTACTTCCTAGATTAAAATAGATGTCTTTTAATTTTGATATTTAAAGTCTTAAGAAATTATAAATTTTAATTTTCGACTAAAACAGTTTTTTAAATTACTCAACATTAATAATTAATAAGCATAATTTTATTATAATTTCACTATGCAATAAGTTTTAAAATAATATATTCAACTAATATTAAATATATGTGTTTAAAATTAAAATACCACTCATTCATTGATCGCTACATCTTAAAACAACAAAATGTATAAACTTGAAATTTGATTTAGTGACTTTTAATATAAATGTGCAATAAGAAGGGATTGTCCAAATATATTTTTAGGAGTTGAAACAGTGTTGGTTTGGATAGTTACATGGGATTATTTTGTTTAATATGTTGATTGTAATAATTAAATATTTATAATTATTTTTAATAATGTTAAATCAATGTCAGTAAGTTAATATGCATATTTGAATAAAATATCATTAGAATATATGAGGATTGGGCACATTTTCAATCTAAAATGTTGTTCGTATTAAATTAGTAATTGCTCTAATTTAAAATAATATCTTTCGTTTGAGCCCGAGCAATTCAGTTAATACTACATAAGGAAATATATATTAGCTATTAAGACTGACAAGATTATTAACTGAACAATAATTCTATGAAGTAAATACTCAAAGTATTTATTATTTCTTAATTATTAAAAACTTAGATGCTACGTATTGATGAATTTGTAATTTATTATTGTTCTTTGACACTATTCATCTGATAGAAGAATGTAGGTATGTAAGAATAATTGATTTATACTAATATAATGGATATCATTTTTTTTATCATACGAATTAGATAAATAACTCTTACTTCATTTATGTATCAAAATCAAAATCGATAAATATATCTTATGTAAATTATATTTAAACACATTGCTAAATAAAGTGAGTTCACTAATAACATTAATAATACAATATAGATAAATTTAAAATATATTTGTATACAGGAAATTAAAAATGATGGTTGAAAACCAGCCACTAATTTTGAAATAATGAGTAATGCCATACCATTGTTAGATTATTATTATTGCTAGACACATTTTAACAAGTGCGCTGAATTTATATTTATTTCTATGAATAAGAGTTTTTATCCCTAACTTTACTTAATTTAAGCGTTAAGGATTCTTTGTACGGTTGGGGGGGGGAGTATCAATGAGGGAAAATTATAAAAAATAAAACCTTTTGTAAAAATTATAACTTCAAATTATATTTTACGTTTTCGAATAAAAAATTGGTGAAAGATTTTCTCATTCTTGAACGCTAGAACACTTATACAAAAAGGATAATGGTTGATTAGGTATGTCATACATGCACTTAACACAGAAACATTTAACATAACTTCTGTAGAGCTTAAAAGTTATTTTCTAAACTGTAACAAAAAGAAAAACGTTAGTACGTTGATTAAATTTAAACACTTCACTAGGTATATTAGAATTACCTAATATTGAACTACATTATTCTGTCCATCGCATTTTACTCGTACTACTGTTCAATATTTAACGAGTTAATGGAATTTATTTTAATTGAAAACTTTGTAGAAAATAGAAAGTCAGAATAAAACGAATTATTGTCAAGTAGGTAAGTAGTTGACAATAGGTACTTTTATTTCATCAAAAAAACGTTATTATTTATAAAACGTTATATATTTATCGGTGTAACGAGTCATTAGGTACACACAATGGCGTACTTAGATTTTTTCGATGTGAATGACCTGAAAAAAAATAATTAACTGTTACTAGGTTGAAAAATAAAGGTGATTTTTTTAGTTTTTATGTATATTAAGCGAAAAATATAAAACAAATATAAAAAAACTAACATAAAAATATAATTATAAAAATAATGGCAATAAAATAAATTGGTATTTTGAACTGGTAATTATAACTTAGGTGAGGTTTTTGATAACTGTCTTAGAACTTCAAATTCGGTAAGTTTTTTTTGTTGATATTTGCTATATCGCTACCCTTACAGCAATAACACGTATTTGAAAAAGCATTAGTTTTCAGGAGAGCTTAAAAATCCCCTATTTTTCAATAAACAATTTTTGTAGGTATAATTTTATGTAGGTAGATACATGTTATTCACAAATAATTTTACAGATACGAGTAATTGTTTTTGTAGATAAGTGTTTTTGAATTATTTAAAAAAAATAAGAAACAACACGTAACTGACAACAAAAACTTTTAATTTAAAACAATTTATAACAATATTATTAATAATTATGTATATTTAATATAATAGAACTGTTAAATTTTTTTTATAAATTTCAATAAAAAACAATATTTTAAAAATTAGAAGTAAAATTAGGTAATAACAGCTTAATTTACCAATATTATATAGTATTTAAATATAATGTAAGGTTTTTATTTTTATTGTTTAGCTTTGTTATAACTTGTTGTTAATAAATTATTATTGCTTACATATATGTTTTTCGTATCTTTTTTAACTACCGGTTGGTGTAAGATATATATAAAATAAATAAAATAATTTCAATATAAATAAAAACAATATTATTATACTAATATTTTAATAAAAATAACAATCAGTTTTTGGTTAGTAATATTTTGAAAGAAAAATCAAATCAAAAACATAACAAATTAAAATGTGATTTCATTTAAAAATACCCAAAATATGTAACAACAATTTTTTACCAGTACCTACCTATTTAGATTGCATTAAAAAGTAATAATAAAATGAAAAACATAACTACCTAATTAAAACAAAAAGTTATCTATTAATCTTAGGTTAACATTAATATCTTTAAAGATAAAATACAATTTTTCGTGTGATGACGAATATATAAATGTATATATTGGTGTACGTATGTGTTACTAAATATAATCTGATTTTCTAAAAATTAATTGTTGGAACATGTCATATTTTGTAAAATATTGAAATTATAATCATACAGTTTTTCTGAAATTATTTTTACAGATAAACCAGATATAATAGAGGTAAAAAAGCAAATAAGTTTGATTAAAAAATTTACAATAGGTATGTTTAACTAATTTTATAATACTATTCGAACTCTTTAATAATCCTCCTTTATTTTTACATCAGTTAATATGCAATAAATATGTTTATGTATATATATTGTATATGGCTATAGTTATGTTCACTAGATTGCTTTATAAGTCTGTCCATACATGGACGATAAATTATTTTAAGTAACTTTCTTACAATAAAACCAGTAATATAACAATGAATATTACTTAATATTACTGAATTAGTTGATCTCGCCCATAAAAAAAATAATATTTAAGCATCTATAAACCAGACAAAACACTGATACAGTTGAATAATAGTGATATAATTCAATATTTCAAACATGGAAATATTTATTAAAATTGTTAAATATATAAATAATACAGCGAAACGTACAAAATCGAAAATACATTATTAAACGAAATTTGACGAAAAATAATTTGTTGTGCCAACTAATAATACTAATACGCGGTCACCGTTTGTAAAGTTTAACGTGATAACAGAGGCAGCAAAGAAGTCTGTGGTCATAGATATTAAAGAATAAAAAATAATAAGAATAATATCTTTATTACCTATGTCTGAGGTGTAAATATTGTAGATACGTGGTGTCGCATTACATTGTCAGATACGGGTTATGATCACAGATATATAATACAATTATATATCTGTGGTTATGACCAATGTCTATTTTTTGTGGTTAATATTTAATTAACAATTACCATGGTTATGAATAAAAATACGCGCAAAATTTTTCTGAATTTTTTGATATCAAAACATAAAAGTCGAAAATGTCCAGATACGTGATGTTGCTGTTAAAGTAACGATTTGTAATCCGTTAATACAGTGGATGCGGTTATTGTTTATTTTTTTTTTAGATAAAATCAGTCGACAAAGATATACTTTAATTAAAATATTACGTAAAATTACGTTTTGAACATCTAGTAAATAGTGCTATTTAATTTTAATTATTATGTAAACGATTGTTCAACGGCAGTGTCGGATTAAGGGAGGGGGGCAAAGGGGACAGTTGCCCCGGGTGGCAATTTTTTGACAACGTCAACAAAAGTTTTGAAATTTTCTAATGTATATACCAGTTTTTAGGAAAAATTATTAATTTACTATTAAAAAATATTAATAACAATTATATAATATTATATTATATTAAACTGTTGAGTTATTTCGTCAGTGGACGTTCAGCATATTAAGGGTAAAACCATATTATAATTATTTAACGTTCGGACCTATGCATTTTTATTTTTGTTACACTGACATAAAATTGTGTTTATTGTATTTCTTATATATCTCTATGTGTGTATTATAATTTATAACCATCAGATTATCAAATTTGATATTAATAGTTTCAAATAATTTATTTACACACTACCAAGCAATTGTTTTTATTTTATCTTTATTTCTCTCTCTCTCTCTCTCTCTCTCGTCTCGTGATCATAGTTTTCGTCGTTGTCGAGTTCGATTCACAAATCACGATTAACTGGAAAACAAACGTGCCTAATATTTTATTTTCAATCAATATGAGTGGAAAGCGCATACAAACGCATATATTGAAATAAATGAGTTGTTTGGGTTTTTTTTTTTTTTAAGAAATTGATGATGATATTTTATGAGAAAAATCAAAGCAATTAGTAAATATTTATACTGTTTATAACCGGATTTTGAGAATGAGATATACAATTTAAAACAATAATGAAGTGTTTTTCAAAAGATGAAAAATTATCTATGCACAGTTCTTTTGAAGTATTAACAATATAAAAAGTTAAACAATTCATTTTCTATTGTGGAAATAGCTTTAAAACTTTTTATATTTATACTATGTTCAAATGCTAGTGGTGAGAGATCCTTTTCAGTTTTAAAAAGAGTCAAGAATTACCAGAAAACATAGTTATCTAATGAAAATATGTCATAGTTATCTTTAATATCTATTGAAAATATTTTCCTAAAAAGTATAGGTTGGAAAGATATTATTAAAGAGTTTGCTACACAGAAAGCTAAAAAATATTTGTAAATATCTTATATTTAAAAATTTGTATTAAAATGTTTATATTTAGTACCTACTAAGGTCTATAAATTTAAAAACTACCGGTGTTACAATATGTTTATAAATAAAAATTAATTAAACAATCTATGTTATTACTTGTATACATACTCGTATATATATACATGTACTATATATATATATATATATATATTTTGTTTTGTGGAAGAAATTGAAGGGTGGAATTTTAAAATCTGCCCTCATGCGGCAAATTTGTTAATCCGGTACTAGTCAACGGGTATAATTTACGAAGAAAAGCACTAGTTAAATTTCTGTTTTACAAGAGTTAATAATAATCTTGTTAAAACTAAAACGTTCCTCCGTTATGATCGATCTTAAATGCGTTTCAACGTTGAAAATGTTCTCCCTGGTGTAACCGAAGAAATAATCTGACGACGCTTTGATAACATCAGTTAAGTAAACGTATTTTTTTTTCGAGTACGAATCGCGATGCTATCGGCTTTGTATACAGGGACTGGACAGGCGGAATACCGGGAGTACTCATTGGAAAGTTTTTTTTTTTAGGTTTATCTGTTTAGACTCATTGTGTCGACAGACTTAGACGTATTTTCTAATGCGATTGTATGAGAAACGGTTTAAAATTAAATAAATGGTCTTTTAATTTTTAATAATAATATTAAGTGTTCAAATTCTTAAAGTAATATAAAATCATTTTATATGAAAAATATACGTTTTTTTTTAGGGTTGTTTTTATGCCTTCGGTGTATATAAGTGGCCCTTTTCTTTTCTCCCGGTAAAAATTTCTAACCTAGTCAGGCCCTGTTTGTATATGGCGATGCAATTTCAATTTGAAACCGTTTGTACTTTACAAATACAACAACGCTCCAGGCGAAGCTTTTATTCGTTTCCACGAATAAACCATTTGTTCGTTTATCCATGTATGAATTTTTTTTTTTCGATTTTGTGAGTGGTGGGTACGTAACACCCGATGTTGGACGGGTGCCGGCCACATCCGACTTATTAACGTTCGACAGTGCTGTAAGAAAATCAAAAACAAGAAATCGGGTCGAAACCCACACGTACCCACTCTCGCGTTGTGAAACACGAACGTGCTAAACCGCTGGTCGAACCGTCCAATTACGTTGTTTGCGTAGGATTCATATTGCGGAATCGTGAGCACGGAGAGATGCCGACGGCCGAAGCAGGAGCTGATTTAACAATTTTTTGCTTACATAATCCGCCCCTATTCGAAATTAAATTTGCCGCTCCTGTCTGGAAATAAATAACTTCTACATAATAAAATATCCTTAAATAAATTTACATGTAAACAACACTATCGTTATTTAAATAATTCACGCGTAGAGCAGTATTTATGAGGTGGTTTGGGGAGGCAATAGCCCCTTTGAAATATTTAAGGGAACGGCAATATTTTTACGGCGGTTCTAAATAAAACCAATTCGATTTTTTCACATTTTCAATGGATATTATTTATGAATAAACAAAATTGTATAAGAAATAAATGTTATGCTATAAAATAATTTATATTATTTAATAGCGTACAAAATGCATATCTTATTTAAGAGTATTTTATTCGACATGGTATTTTATTGAATTATAGGTATTGGTCTAATGTTGATTTATATGGGGATGAATCATTCAGACCGAAAGGTACTAAATTATTTAAGGGTACCACCAGTCGTTTAAAAGATAATTTTCTATAACTTTATCTATGTAATTATAACTCAGTTATTAGTTAGAAATATTGTGTAATAGTTTGCTGAAATGGGGAAAATTAATCGCGAGCGGCTCTTTAATGAATAGTTGGAAACACTTGTTTTCGGTTTTTCGCTTCAGGGAAGAGGGGCGGTAAAATGTTAAATACGACCCTGCTGTAACCAATAACCCCATGTCCAACAGTTTTTATAACCCGAACGTTTGCCCAGCCTCCGGTATATATTATATACGTATAGAACTTTATTAGTATATAAACAATAATGTCTCATTTACATTCAGCCCATTTTCGTGGGTAGTGAACAAGGAACTGGCCAGCAAGAGTCAAAGCCGTATCTAGAAATTTTTTTCGGGAGGGGTTCAAAATATGCATATTGTAATTTTATTGAATTTAGATTTTAACTTTTGATATTTGGTTAAAAATAAAACAAAAAAAGATTTAATCTCCTTTTATTAAATTTAATATCATATTTTCATATGATAATATGATATAAAATTAATGATTTAATTGGAGCTGAAGTCATTTTTGATTGAAAATATTTATGTTAGAATTAAAAATAAATAATTATTTTAAACATTCGTAAAATATTGAAAACATTTAGGGGGGGTCAGACACCCTGGACCCCCCTAGATACGGCATTGAATATTCTGTACACTGTATCTAAATAAACTTAAACACAAATCCTAAAGTAACCATCAAACAAGACATTTACAAAAAAGTGTTCTATCCACATGCTGTATAATTGAAAATTGCAGACTCCATAATAATAGTTTATAATTCCACAAATGCCAAAATATAAATAGGATACCTTAAAATAAGCAATATTATTAATAATAATAACAATAAATAACTAAAAAGCCTAAATAAAATGTATGGTATTCATTATATTTGCAAACATAATATTCATAAAAACCCGGATAAAATAATTTAAAAAATTATTATCTGTTAATAATCAGTTATCGAATTACCTAATGACCGCTTGTTGATGGTCATCAATTTTAACAATGTTCGATCTTTCAACTTTCACTTGTATATTTTGGTGGGTGTCTAATAAAAAAAAAAAAATAATAATAATATAAACTATATATACATAAACATTTTATTTAAAATAAAATTAATAAAATAATGAATATATAAGGTAGTTATAAAGTAGGTAGCGTGATATATTTAACATCAAAATCTCAATTTAGTTTATTATATGTTGTGGCAAATAAGATATAAATCAAGAAAAATAACTATAACCTAGTCAAATGACAAATTTTCTAATCAGTTTAAGCATTATGTTGTATTTTCATATAGATTATTTAATGGATATGAAAATTAGACAATCACGTATTCATCAATATTTTCTAAGAAATAATAACACTCCTATAAAAGCATACAAAAACATAAAAAAAGAAATGTATTAATTAATTTTATTAAAAAATAAACTACAAGAGATGAAAATTGTAGCTTGCAGTAATTGTACATATTAATACCTAATATTAAAAATATTTAGTTTATATTTATTAAGTTATTATCAATAAATTATTATAAATAAAACGTTGTTATATATTTTATTCATTTCAGCAGGATGTATTTAGTATTAAATGTGGTCAAATAGTAAGTAAGTATACAAATTATCTTTATTTATTTTATTTTTTTTATAGTGAAAACAATACAAATTTCATTTTTATAAGATTTTTTTATTGCTACCGGGGGGGGGGGGGGGGGGGTATCCCTTTTAGAAATCCTGGATATGTCACTGGCGTGGATCAAAGAAATATATTAAATGGACAAGAAAAATTCCTAGATTTCCACTCAGCATAAATACAATATATATGTTTATAATATATATGTTTATAATTATTAGTGTATAGTTATTAATTTGTGCGAATTACAGATACAAGTTTAGGATTCTAATATTTTTCAATTGGAAAAATATTACGGACAAGTCTTTACTGACATATAGTATCAAAACGTCTAATTCCTTAAAACTTTTGTTGACATTGTAATTATTCCAATTATTAAATGAATATTAAAAAATTCCCAAATAGAATAATTAAGTGATAAAATGAAAATTTACCCTTAATACGTAGTAAATAACTTGAATATAAAATCAGTTATGGTGTTTAGAATAAATAAATTATAACCTATCATAATTTATACATTTTAATATTATAAATAAATAACAATTAACTTTTACTTGGCATATGAAAAATAAAAATATGTATTAGCCAATATTTACTTATCTTTTTATATATAATATTTGATTTTTCATTAATTTATGTCAAGACTAATCTATATCTACTATAAAATTACAAACAATAAATTAATAATTAAAAAATGTATTCTTTAAGTTTTGAGTTTTAATATCCAATAACTATGGTGATCTAACAACAAGTTATCATAAAATTAGTTTGAACTATTAAAATATACTTCATTAACTTAATTAAATTTACTTTTTTATTGTAAATATATGTTGATATTAGATATTAGATTATACCAATACTTTTTATATATATTAATTTTTATTCTATAATCTGTTGATAAGTACAAAGGAAATATAATTTTTTTTTTTTTTAGAAATACTTATATTTAATTTAAATTTATTAAAATATTACTTTTGATTATTCTTCGTTAATGTTTGACACTTCTAAATGAACTTTTAACTGACACAATTTTTCTAACACAGCAATACCTTAAATATAAAATAATCTCATCTTAGAAGATATAAATTATTGGAATAGTTTCAATTTAATTATGGAAGTACGGAAGAATCTTTAAGTTCAGACAAATATAAGAAAAACGTATTTTATTTATCAAAAATATAGATAGCATAATTCTAAACTAATGCTTTTTTTTTTGAAACTTATTAACTTATAAGTTATCAAGACTCAGCTGAAAATAATAATATAGCTAAAATAATAATAATAATAATAATAATAATAATAACTGTTTTAGTTATGTAAAACATACAATAAGATAAAGATTTAAATTTTACCTTCTTCTCTATTCTTACTATATTTACATTCCCATGCATCAAATAGCATATTATAATACCTAGGACCATCAAAGAATTCATGATATTTAAAAGATGAATTAGTTGGAAATACTTTTTGAAATCTAAAATTTAAAAACAATTTACTTTAAATACAATATTATAAAACAAAATATAATTTATCAAAAAAAATACATACGATCCAATTTCAGTGAGTTCATCCTCGTAAGTAATAAGATGTCGAACATCATCTGGTAAAAGATCTTCTAATATAGAGTCAATATACTAAACAAATTTAAAACAAAATTTTTAATTCTTTAATTAAATGTAATTAATAATTTAATACTTCTTCTCTAGATTTAACATTTGCAAAATATTCTTGTTTTTTTCTTTCTTTAGCTGATAAATTAAATGTATATAATCTTTTATCATAACATAGTCGTGATTTAACTCTTAACATTTTGAGTAATGTATTCTAAAATTTTAAGCAGTTACAAATTAAATTTTTAATATTTAACTATAACTTAAATTTTTATAAACTACTATAACATACATATGTAGTAAGTGACATTTTATTTGGTATATGGTAACCAACCATATTCATTAAATCTTTAACTAATGGCCCTTTAACTGCTACATCAAGTGGTGAAGAAGTATGTAGAGAAGGAGATATGTTAACCTAATAAGTAGAACAATTAAATAATTCAATCTTTAAAAAGTTAAATTTATTTTACTTCTAATATCCAAGGCTTAAGATCATCATCAAACAAAACATCAATTCCAAATAACTCATACGCATTGTATCTGTTGCCTAGGTTTGATGAACACTTTTGGCTTATTGGCAGTTCTCCACTGATTACTGTTTTAATAACTAAATCGGTCAAACTATCCCATATTTTTTTAACATCAAGTTTACGCTCTTTTTCCATGTATTTCCACAATGATCGTAATGTCCTAAAATAATTATAATTTATCAAGATACACTACATAGAGAATAAAGATTTAAAAATGTTTAAGATAAATATTATTTTTCTAGAAAATATTTACCACTTATGTCCTTGACATGCATCAGCATCTTCATTTTCAGTGTACTGACTACCGAGTCTATTAATACTGTAGTTAGTCAAATGCATATATCGATCAGATATTGTAGTAAGATCAGATGAGTACTTGACTGAAATTAAAAATAAATATGTGAAAATGTCAAGAACTCAGTGAAATATGTTTAACCTGAAGCAAATCTTACAAGCCCATTTTCATATAGATAAAGCCGGAGAGGATTGATTGAAGTAATGAGGATATATAGTCTTAAATCAAATTTTGTATCATTGATTAAAAAAGGATTATCAATATATCTTTGTACAACTAAATATCTATTTCTTGGTATTTGACTCCATTTTGATATCACACGAATTCCAGTTCCTCTAGCAGATGCTGGCTATAGTAAAATTAGGTTTAACAAAAAACTTTTGTTAACAAATAATAATTAGGTAGTTTAATAAATACCGGCTTAATAATCCATTTATCATTTTTCTTCCAGACTTGTTTTAAGATTCTAAGATCATGAGGTAATATGTATGATGTAGGTATGAAACCAAATTGATCTTCACCATATATCAACATAAGCCTATGCAAGTTTTTCCATAATTTATCTTTGTGTCCAATTTCAAATGTTCCCGGAAAATGATTAAATTTTTGTTGATCACGCAGAGTTTTAAAATATAATGAATTCATTTGTTTATCCCAGGTTCCAAACCAATCATTAGATTCTAAATTAAAATATGTAATTAAATAAAATTTAATATTATATTAAGATTAAAGGGAAAAAATATGAAAAATAAACTCACGGGATCGAGGTAACGTCATGAATCCACTAAAAACATCAAAAATAGGTGGTGTAACACCATAATGTTTTTGTAAAGATACATAATTTTGATGACATTGATCTTTAGTGACAGAAGGATTATTTAAATTATTAACTAAGCAAAGCTCACTTCTCACTAATTTAAAACCACTGTTTTCAATGATATGCCGTACAACAATTGGACTAATGGGACGTAGTTTCCATTTCAGAACATTTTGCAAATCTTTTGGAAATGATTCACCTATAATAAAAAAAATTATTATATTTAGATTTTAAAATTAATTTTTTTTTAATCTTCATTCATTTTGAAACTTTGTTATTATTATTATTATTAAGTATTATTATTTATATGTAAAAATAAAATTACCTTTTATATCATGCGAAGAAAATCGTATGTATGGAGGCATATTTGAAAATAAACTTAATCTTAGGGCTGAATGTTGTACAGAAATATTTTTTTCCTTTTGATTTCCTATGATTAATTTTATGAGTTGAATATTACCACAATTCACATCAACAACACATTTTTTCAAATATTAATTTGGAATTTTTAATTCAAAATGCATGCTTTATTTACAGTACATTTATAAACTAATTTTTATGTTTAAAATTATAATTTACAATTAAAATATATATTCAGTTAGAAATAAAATTATCATATAAATTTATTAAGTAAGTATTTATTAAACAAATAAGCTACATACATACTTTAAATTTGGTAACATGTTACCTATTGAATGGAGAGATCTTGATAATTTATTTGAGAAATTTAAATTTTTCAAACTAGGATCAGTATCTAAGATTGGAAACAAAGCTAATTTCAGTTGTCTGTCTGAAATAAGATTTATCTTTTGATGTAGATTAGCATCAAGTGTTTTTTGAGTATCTATTATAAAAACCATATATAAATTGAGTATTGTCATAATTAACATCAATAACATAATTTTTCAAATATTAATTTAAAATGCATGATTTTATTTACTGTAAGTTTTTAGATTAATTTTTATGTTTAAAACTATAAGAAATAAGATATAAGAAATAAAATTATCATATAAATATATAAAATAAGTATTTATTAAACAAATAAGCTACATACATACATTAAATTTGGTAACATGTTACCTATTGAATGGAGAGATCTTGATAATTTATTTGAGAAATTTAAATTTTTCAAGCTAGGATCAGTACCTAAGATTGGATACGGAGCTAATTTTAGAAGTCTTTCTGAACTATGATTTATCTTTTGATGTAAATGACCACAAAGTGTTTTTTGAGTATCTATAATATAAACAATATATAAATTAATATTAAAAGATTAATAATAACTTATGGATTTTAAGAACTCGTTTACTTTCAGATGTCAGTGGTACTGATGAATTTAGTATATGATTATGCATAATCTGAAATAAAACAATTCAGTTTTAAAAAATATTATTTAATTATTTAATATTTTTTATTCTTATTTAACAGGGAACACAGAAGCATCATTTGAAATATCAACTTTCTTTCTAATTTTAAGAGTTACTTTTTTTATATTTTAATCGGATGATTTTATTTATTCCTTAATCATATTATTAGCCAATATGAATCGATTATTTATAATAAGTGATAAATAGGGCTAGGATTTATATGGATTTGTTTGTTTTTTTCCTTAAGTCCAAATTGATTAGTTGTTAGCATACCCATGATTTGGCTTATTGTGGATCCAGTAGAACCATTTTTTTTTTATTTTTTTTTTGCATATTTGCATATTTTGAACATATTGCATATAACTGGATATTTATAGATTTTTGAGAATCTTTGTGATTTTTGAATTTTTTATAAATTTTTTAAATTTCAAGTTTTTTATAATATTGTTAAATTTAAATTGTATTTATTTAATGAACATTTATTTTTCGAACTGTCATATATATACTATACATTTTATCTTGGTCGGACGACCGATATAATTATACAAACATTGTTTAACGAAGTATTTTTTAGAGTAGTGGTTCCCAAACTCTTACTTTTCAATCGCGAAACCCTTAGGAAATAGGTAGTTTGTGTTTCGTGAAACCCCAATGCAGTGCCGGATTAACCTACAAGCAAATTAAACACTACTTAAGGCCCACGAAAAAATTCGTTTTTTTTTTTTTTTTTTAAAAAAATTAAAATTTGTAAATTTGCACACTAAGTCGATGGTCAGACAAGATCCGGTATCGGCTCAATATTTGACCAAATTTTTAGACTGTTTATTGGGGGAAAAATCCGGATTTCAATTAAATTCACCAAAATTATATAGTTTATACACATTTATTTCTACACAACAAAATATTTCGTTTTTATACGTTATCGGCAATATATAGTATACGGGTACACTACTAATAGGGGTATACTAACCTATAAATATGTTTTCTACTTTATCAAGTTCATGTAAAAAGAAAATTTCGAATTTTTTACTAATTTTTTCCTATTTTAGGTAAATTTTTTTTTTTACAAAATATTTTTGTTTAAATTTATGTTTTTAAATGCTTATTTGAGTGCTTATAATGATACTTTTAAGTGCTTTTATAAGCACTTATTTTAATGATTTTAAGTCCCTTAAGTCCCGAGCCCTACTAATAAGTAATAAGTAATAACAGTATTAGCTATTAGTAACTACCTTTATTATCTGTGGAAATTATACATTTATACAACACTTTACTTTTACACAGTACAGTACAATTTATTATAACATGTTTATATTTATGATTCTTTATCGACGCAACCAAATTTAATATTTGATGACAGAGACTATCACGGTCGTTAGTGAACATTAGAACATGTATAGTATTACAGAGTGTTTTAGTTGTTAAAAAGGGTCAAGTTATTCTGTGTAGTTGAAAAAAAATAATTGTTCAAAAATTACTTAGAAAAATATAAAAAACAAAAGATAATTGGAAAAAACTACCAACTGTACTGGTGAAAGATCTTTTTCCCGATTAAAATTATTAAAAACCGTATTACAATCTTCACTATTACTAAATAATCGTAGAATTTTGGAATTTTTAGCACCGAGAGTGAATTTGTAAAATCTCTAGACTTGGATGATGTCATTCGAACTTTTCCAAATGAAAACGTCAGAAAAAAGAATTATGTATAGATGAATTCGTCAAATTAAATCTACAACCAATTATGTTACTTTCCGGCCAAACTTCAGTAACTGCACTTCTAATAGTTTTTTCGTAATCAATAGTAAAATTTCTCGGAAAAATAATAAATTAATATCTTTACATTTTTGACAAATATATCGAAGAGCAAAAACATAGGAAGATGTTAGTTTATTTGGTAACAAATAAAATACGAATTGAACATAGTGGCCATTGTGGAATCTATGAATGGTAAATATTTGCATAAAAAAAGCGAGTACAATAATCAAATGTTCCATCCATGTAAATAGTACCTATCTACCGATGACAAACATTTTGAATTTGTTAAATTTGTTTAAATTAACTCTTTTATGCGTCATCTGTAATAACTGCAATTTCACAGTGAATATTTAACGCTACTAATCAATTTAGTCTACCCATTGATAATGAGTTTCTGAGGTACTTCTTAGTAGTTTTTAAGTTTTTTAAACAAAAAAGTCAGTTAAATTTATATTGGTACGTTTACTCATTTTATTTGTTAGACGGCAACAGTAACATTCGCACGATTGAATTGGTATAATAATTACATGTAGGCACAGACAGTCAAATATTATTTTGTCCAGCTTTTGACAACGATAAATCGAAAATATTAGCTAGTGTGGCATTTTCAGGAAGTTGATGTATTGCCGATTTTTTGGAAAAAAATAAAAAATATACATACATTTGATTTTCGTTAATATCATAAAAATATAATAGTTTACACGGTTTTAATAATTTGTTTATTTTCACGATAATTGATTTTATACGTTTTAGAATTTGTTTTATATACTACAAGTATATGAATAAAAGTCATTATGCACATTTAAAATTATATTTATAAGTTATAACACAATGATTTACATTCAACTGCCATAATAGTATTACAATGTGTTCAATAAACTTTATGAATAAAATATGACAGCAGTTGAACGTATAACATTTATAAAAGTGTTTTTGACAGTTATCGAATACAATTTCTATAAAGTCAAGGGGGGTGTCCAGACACCTAAAATACCCCTCTCGTTTGCGCCACTGTAAATATTACAGCTAAAAAGTGATTGAAAAAAATTGAATCTAGGTTAAATTAAGAAATTTCTACATTTTTTTTAAAAGAGTATTTTAACTTTGGATAACAATTATTTAATAAAAAAAAAAATAGTAAATGTTGAAATTATCAGTAAAATACATAACATAAATAAAAATAATTCAACAATTAAGATTGATTAGGAACAAATAGTTTGTTTAAATATAATTAAGTATAATACTCACAATTGATGGAAAATTCAATAAAATTATTACAATAATTTGCAAAATAAAGATGGTAATGTATTGATGTAATATGATGGTAATTTGAATAATTGATAAAAAATAAAATGTTTAACTAACCATGGATAGAAATAATTAAAGCAGAGACGAAAACTTGAACGACAAGATTTGCTAGTGAACCATAGACTACTTTGTGAGGCGAAAAGCAAGGACGCATATACCCGCCAATTGAGTCATTTAAAATGATGGCGAAGGAACATAATGTAGGAAAATTAAATTAAAATTTGAAAACAATTAAAATGAGCGTATAATGTAAATGTACCCAGCGACGGATTAAGAATTTTTCATAAGGACGGACACATAATTTATATTATATCAAATGAATTATAAATTACTTATTAAATTAATATAAATTGTAAAATGTATACAAGTAAAAAACATATGTTTAAATACATAATTATTATAAATCCCATTGAAGTTTTCTTTTAGGTTTTTTCACACATATATCCAATGCCTCTTTTAGAGTTATAGCATGTATTGTAAATATAGTTAAAATTTATCTTTATTAATATGAAGTATTGATAATCCGTTGAGCTTATTCTAATTCGTTTTAAATCTTAAATGGGTTTATGTTCGTTTTAATGAAATGAATGATCGTTCTGAAGTAGCTGTTGCGACGTATATAATACATAATATTTTTAGAAGGCACTTAATATAAGAAAAAATAGATGCAGATTTATAGGCTTCCATGGGAGTATATGCTTTGTCATTACCGATTAGATTAGATGATTATTATTTTTAATGTTCGTAAATCATCAATAATGTTATAATAGCCTTTGAAATTTGACAACACCGACTGTCTGACAATGATACAGGTATTCAAGACCGTAACTAGAATTTTTTTTCGGAAGGGGTCCAAAACATGTATATTGTAATTTTATTAAATTTAGATTTTGACTTTTGATATTTGGTTAAAAATGAGACAGAAAAAGATTTAATCTTCTTTTATTAAAATTAATATCATATTTTCATATGATATTATGATATAAAATTAAAAGCAGTCAATGATTAATTGGAGCTGAAGTCATTTTTGACTGAAAATATTTATGTTGGAATTAAAAATAAATAATTATTTTAAACATTCGTAAAATATTGAAGGCATTTTGGGGGCGGGGTCCAGACACCCTGGACCTTCCACCAGATACGGATTTGGCGAGAATGTGTAAACACGTCACCCGCGCTTACCATGCTTCTCGCGTTGTCGTTGCCCGTCAAGAACGGTAAATTGAACAGTGCGAGCAGCAGGTTAACTGGCTGCACGAGCGCGATTACGTGTTTACATTCAGCTCGATCGGTTACCGCCTTTGCATTATCAGCATTATGTTCGTCAACAACTAAAAAATAATATTATTCATGTCCAGATTAATTTTCTTTGCGTTCTTTTATTACTTTTTTTTTTTTTTGTTAAATATGCTGACAATTAAATCGTTATAGAATTTGATGACAATGTATTCTTACGTAACGAATTTGAACTTCCTTGTAAGTTATGTGAAACAGAAATAAGTGCTAAACGGCGATATACAGTAACACGCCATATCGAGAATGTAAAGCATAAACGTAAATTTTTTGTTAATAACATATTTTTTTTTTAGTTTTAATATTTTGTAAAATAAATTAAATCTTATAAATTATAACATTAATTTTTTGTATTTCTTTAGTACAATACTACAATCAATTTTACTAAATTTGATAACCTACAACAATGTCCATGCCTTACTTATGATTATGATTGTTCAAAGAAGGTGAAGTACATTTATAATTTTTCTTTAACTATTTAAGGTATTACAAAATATTAATGAGATCTGGAGTGTAACGCATTTGATTTGTAACAATTATCTCCTACTGCTTTGATATCATTTAATATATTTAAGGCAATTTATAAATTAAAACTAAATTAAAATTGGTCAGAAACCTAATACGTTTCAATTAAAGTTACCCATTTGGTCTACATTAAAATAAATTGGCTTTATTCTAATTACAAATTATTTACATTGAAACGTTTGAAATCATTTATACATATGAATAAAATATAACATACAAATGGCAACACTTGAAAATCTTATGAAGATCGATGAAAAACAGTATGGAAAATTGAAATTGTAATGTATAAAAATAATTATATTTATCAAAATATATTATACAATAACCAATTACATTTATGTTAATCAAACGATTTTGAAAAAAAAATTGTTCTAGAACATATGCTTATCATTGCCCTGCAATGGTCACAATATAAGTTATATATTTTTGAATAAAAAAAAGGAAATCGATTATAAATACCAATTTTAAATAACTTACATTTCATAAAATGTTTTAAATATGAAAACTTTTTTTTAAGATTAATTTAATATAATACATAATACACAAAATTGATTATACAAGCATTTTATTATTATTATATTTTTTCTTCACTAGTTAGTAATTTAATATTATTCATAATTATAAATACAATAGAAGATAAAAAATAATAATAATTGAGATTAAAAAAGGTTTAGAATTAAATGTAGCATTGTTTTAAAACAAACCAAAATAATTCCAGATATGCAATAAACATAATATTATATTTTTTGGAACATAGTTTCTAATTTATCTTGCACAATGTTTTGACTGAAATACTGCATATATGTTTTGCAATAACCCTGTTCATTAGAGAAACAATTATAACAATATTGCACATAGTAAGGATGAGAATCTACCATAGTTGACCTATAGATATATCACATAGTATTATCTTATTATAAGGCAGTCCGTTCATCATAAACAATCACTGCTTCATTGTCGACCAATATATCAGTATCTTTGTTGTTGAGGAACTGACTTCTAGATTTGCTCATTGCGATTATGGCAGCCTCATCATTTCTCATTCGATTTTTCCTTTTTTTACTAAAATTAACCTGAAATTTTTATGTCAAATATTTAATCAACAAGAAAGGAAATCAAATTTATATTAGATAATTAGTCTTAGTACCTTTGCATAGAGTTCTGACAAATTGTCAGATGTTGAGAATGGTCGTTTTTTGTTTCGTACATGAGTTGGAAGGCTTCTTGTTCGTAGTGTCACTGATTTTCCATCCCATTTATGGCAGTGGTCTAAAACTAAGAAAAAAAACCAATCATTTTTATAAATTTTGACAGTTATTACATGCTTAGAAGTATAGATTGTTTTTTCAATAATATATTAACTGAGATGTTATATACTTAACCTGTTGTAAGCTTATTGATTAATCAATGAAGTTTTTAGTGTTTATTTTGGCACAAGTCATTTCATAAGAAATTTTTTACTCATAGTTTAATTTAAATTATTAAATAATTTATAAACTAATATAAATTTATATCAGTTATACATTTTATAACTGAAATCATCATTATATAATTATCATTGAATAATTAGATTATAAATTATTGAATAATTTAAAAATACATTTAAGTAAATGATAGTTATATTTGTTCTTCAAACACTAATTTGTGACTAATTTGGATATAATATAAAAGTAAAATAAAAATAAATAAATAATCAAATATTAATTGGCAGAGTATATTTTAAATGTAAGCACATTATTTTTTGGTGTGATTTAAGAAAATTTAAGTAAACACATAATGTACATAAAAAAAAAAAAAATGTCTTGTTAATTAATAAATAAAATATAGTAAAACTGTTTTATAATAAGCTTAAATAATTTTAATTTTATGCATATAAATATGATATAACAAAATATCATTAAATATATAAATAAAATGTAAATTATAAATGTTCTTGATGAAGTATTATATATTATTTGCAAATATTAAATATAAATATATTTTATTTTTATACTTTATGATATATTGATATAATTTGAAATATTTGACAATTTTAATAAATTATTTTATACATTTAAAAAATATATTACTATAATTTTAATAATACTTGTAACAAAACAAACATATATTTTTTTTATTATAAATATTTTACAGTAAAAATAATACACATGATTATATAAATTTTCATTTAATATTTTCATGTACTACTATCAAACTATGATAAATTATATTATTTTTTTTATTTTATGTGAAACATTAACTTGATAATAAATACTTACAGTTACTGGAAGTAAATTGGTGAGGGTTGAATTCAGAGATCTGAGGTAAAGTGTTTGGTAAATGGCAAGGGTCATTTTGAGTTTCATTGTCAATGTAATGCATATTTGGAACATCAAATGTTTCATTGCTAATAAATTCTTTGATTTCACGTATACAAGGATCCTGTAAGAGTAACAATTGTGAATTTTGGTTTACATTAATACGGTTATTATAAAACCTACAAATGATTGAAGTTGTTTTGCTGGTGGTACAGAAGCTGAACGCGGTACTGTATTTGTACCAACTGGTTCTTCTCCTTGATCATTGAAAAACCAATGATCGGGAGAACCTTCTCGTTCAGGAAACAATTCAACAATGCGATTACTATACACAAAATTTCCAGTTTTTGGGTCCAAGAATACAGTGGAGTACCTGTATAATAAATTAATAAACTATACATTTAATTTATTTCATTTGTATAATACAATTATGCATATGATTAAGTTTTAACTTAATCCTTATTCAGTATTTAATAAATGACCATTTTTTTAAGGTCATAATAATTTACATTAAATTATATATATATATATATATAATTATTGATGACCTTAATTTTAAATGAAATGTTTAATAAAGTATTTTTAAAACTACCCAGGTATATTGGAATTACTTCTTTGTTCCTCTTCATTATTTTGTACTAAAAAACAATGAAATAAAAATTAAGAAATAATAAAATATAATATAAATTTCATAGCATACCGGTTTTTTTTTTACAAAAACAACAATACCAAATTGTAAACACAATAGTTATTGACATTAATATTATAATAGCTATAGCACATGTAATAGCAATTAAAAATTGATCTTTATCCAGTTTCCACCCAAAAATATCCAAGTTAAAATCATCGGAAATATCCTGAAAAAATAAAATATAATTTATTAATTCTAATACAATTTTGTAATTTTTGTTGTTAAAATAAAAATTAAATTGAATACAATATTTTCCTTAAATATTATTTCTAATTAAATATTATTACTATTTTAATTTTATTATTTCTCATTACATTTTTACATTATGTTGAAATAATGTTTTTTTAGCTTAACTTAAGTAGTCGTAGTATATTTCAATAGAAAAGAATTATAATTTATGTAATGAAAATCGTAAGTTTTTTCTTTATTTCTTTTATTAAAATTTATTTGTACATAAAAATACATAAGTCATCCATATTGTTTATACAAACAAAAGTAACTAAGTTAATTTAAACATTTTAATGAAATAGGTTTATTAGACAAGACTTACTGGAGACCACATTTTGGCTGTCAATGTAGTAGATTGTTGAAATATGGTCCTATGCGTGCTTCCTTCAGAATTTGGCTGTATAATATCATCTAAAAAATATAAATATTTATATATTTGATTCCACATGATATAAATATAGTTTAAACATAGACAAATAAATTTAATAAAATAATAATAAAAGTAAATTTATTTTAATTTTATTTTTTTCACATTAAATATGATTAAATGGTTATATTAAATATTGTTTAAAAACTCAAAATAAGAGTTTTATTCTAAATATATGATGGTAAAATATTTTTTATATTTTATGTAGACATCTAATAAACTTTGTTAATAAACATTATTATAAACATTAATTAAATAATGAAATGAAAACATTAAAAATCGAATAATCAAAAGTGATCATTGTAATAAATTTGTTGATTAATAATACTAGTATTTATAATCAATGGTAATCTGTATAAAAATATTTACAAAATAATTAGTTAAGATCAAAAGAAACACTCCGAAGGAGTATTTTGAAAATACTGGTGGAAATCTGAATTATTTGTTTTTAATATAAATGTAAAGGCACCTAAGACCTAAGACATTTAGAGAAAAATCAACTAATTATTGGTTACGATGAGATTTACTTTAAATCATTTAATTTGAATAACTAAAATTTCAAACAAGATGTAAATATTAATTCTTTTTAAGAATTAATTAATTAATATAAATTAATCTAAATATTATATAGAGATTTAAAAGTTTACAGTATAGTTTAAAAATACCTGTATAATAGTTATATAATGTATATTTATTATATATACATATTAATAATACTTAAAAGTTTAAGTAGCGTAGATTAAGATTACTTACGTTTGTGAAAATTCATGTTTTTTTTTCATTCCAAAGTGTAATATACTGCACATTTATAAGTATTCTTTTTGTGTCAAACACTTTATTTTATCTGCAGAATCTCTATCTTACTGTGTATACATAATATAAAGAGTGTGTAGATAAAAATCATGTATTTGACAAAATAAATTGCATAAAGAAATATCTACAAATGTGTAGTATATTACTACTTGCAAATAAAAAAATAACTTATGAATTTTCATTAATGTATGTTACCCTTATCTAAGCTACTTAAATTTTTAATATCTTAAGAGATATTTTAATCAAAATACGTAGGTACCTACATTCAAGAGTGATCCATAAGTCAATACTAAATATTAAGTAGCATAATAATTTTATCAAGAGTATGTATAATAATAAAGTTGAACTACAAGAATAGAAATACATAATTCATTGAACTCTAAACTTTTCACTTGACTGCAATACGATGAACATTAGATTTGCATTATTGAGAAGGAAGGATAAATTGAAAGGGTAAATTTTTAAAACTTATAGACTCGTAACTAATTCATTTTTATATTGAAAACAAGAAACTAGCATATAACAATACGTAGGTATCTGTATTTTATATAATATCTTAATATCTCAACGAGGTTTATTTTAAAATTTTATTATAAATGCATAAATGTGTAAATAAAAAACTAAACAATAATTGTATGTGTTTCAATAAATAGATACTTAAATAAAAATGTTTATATTTTTATTTGAACAGAAGAAAAAAATAAAAGATAATAATTAGTTAAATTAAAAGTTCAAAATAATTGTACTTAATCATCTATTATTGAAGTAAACAATAATATAATTATTTTTAATTTTCCAATCTCATCATCCAATAAAAGACATTCAATTATTGTTAGTAAAATAATAGTTGAATAATTACTTTATTGAATTTGTATATTAAAAGCTTACATTGATTAGTTTAATTTTGAAATCTAATAAATTATATTTATCTAAAGAGAACCTGATATTAATAAAAAGGAATATAAGAAATAGTATAAAAAAGTTTTTTTTTTTTAAAAATCAATTTTCTTACTGATTAAAAGCTCTCTGATTAAGTTAAAACAAATAAATAACTAGTATCAAAAAATAACATTTTAACATGGATATTCCTGAACCAGTTGGACTAGAGTAATTTTGTCGTTCACCAGACATTTAAAGGCTTACTCTGATTAGTTGATAAATTATTTGTTTCTCATTGGAAATAAGTAAATAGTTGCTAAAAAAAACTATTACTGAAAGCATAATTTATGAAACATGATTTCTAAAACAGTAAGAATAATTGTATTTGAACGAAATCCAAAGCTATGGTCATGTTTTTTAAACAGTCAATAACAAGCGACAATGGGTATTGGACAAGTAAAATATTATTAAGTGTAGCGTTTATCGTCCAGTTTTCGTACCGATGAAAAATGTATGTAGTACTGAGCACCCAGTATAATAGACGGATTGTGCGTACTGAAGGGTCGCTCGAATGGGAAACGTTCTTGGCCGGATAACCTCCACTTGTGCGCTCAGTGCTCAGAGGTGATCTCATGTCGCCCCGGTAAGCCCGTACAAGACAGAGTGGAAAATGCGACAGTGGCAAAAACGATTACATTACGACGAGAACTTGAACAACAACAAAGTCGTACCTTGGGTGTTGGATGACGGTCCGGCGAGGTGTGTCAATCGGAGGCGTTCGACGACGGGGAAGCGCGTGCACGGCGAACAGGATAAAATAGGTGAATAAAAGAAAAGAAAAAAAAATAGCAAACGAGAAAGTAAAAAAATTGTAAGCTAAATTGCCGAACTGCTACGGCGGCGGTGCGCGCGCGTACAGTGCAATAACAAGCGTCGACACGGACGTTATCGGATCGGTCGCGCGCGTCGGCCCTGTCCGCACGGATACAACAATGATACCAGTGCGATCCGTACGTCCGTCGGTGGTCGGTGTGGTGCGCGTGCGCGCGAGTCGTTGATACGGCACTCGGTCCGTTGATTTCCGCGTCGAAAGCGCGATAACGCGCCGCGGCGGCGGTCGACGTACGTATCGCGACCAAGGACAACGGACGATGGCACACGCTCCGCGGCAGCGTTCACACGGGGTGAGGTCGTCGCTCACGGTTTTCGCATTGATTACAGAACGGACTGTTCTGCAGTCAACGGTTTTTGGTAACGTTCGCGCGCGCCTTACCGATAACGTTGTCGTCTCCCGCGTCCTACTCGCTGCGCAGCGATACATCTCAGCAACCTAGGGCGCTGTGAGATTATTTTGAATATATTTTTTTAAGAAAAAACCGTTTTCATGAAAAATAAAACGCTTCGAGCAATTACACTTTATAGCAATGGTGCAAATAGGGGTACGGTTTGGGGGTTGTGACCCCCCCTCCCCTCCCCGAAATTTTTCTGAGGTTTTTACAAATTTTATGTAGGAAATATAAGGTTGATCTTGAAAACGCGAAATGGCTGATTGATATGAAACATGAATATTATTCGTATTATAATTGATAACAATAATAACATGACAATATGGAACGTATGGATATATTTATTAATACAATGAGTTAGTGGTTTTTATTCTTTGTGATCAAGCTCGGAAAAATGTTATTACTGAAGGTACAGTTTCTAATTGACACGATTTTACGTAAACTTCCTACAGCCAAATTCAAAGAATGAGAAGCACAATCAGGGACGGCTCCAGGGGGGCCTAAGGGCTTCGACCTCTTCTAAAGCCCGTACCGTATTTATAAAAAAATTTATATTGTTAACAAAAAATGCATGTTATAATATGTACTATCATACGACACACAAAAGTATGTAGAAAGAGCCATGAGGTATGACGGTTGAAATGAGTTTCTCTACACTTCGGAGACTAAAAACCTGGCTTCGTTAAATTATGACTGAAGATAAACTATCAGCATTATGTCTAATTAATGTATATCATAAAGTAGATATTCTAGATCAAATAGATTATATTATTGATATTTTTGCCAATTTTAAAAATAGACGACTTGAATTTGTGTTGTAAAAATTGTTTTTTTTTGTTACCTATAAGATTTTGTAAAATTATAACTTGGCCCTCCCCTAACCAAGGCTCTGGAGCCGCCCCTGAGCACAATGTAAATTAAACGCATACGGGACAGCCTCTAAAATATAATAAAAATAGTTCTCTAGTATTTATAAATATACATTGTATTAATTTAATTAAAAATTTAAAAATTGTAAACAAGATCACTCTTTAAATGAGTTGTTTTTTTTTCTTAAGTACAATAAAAAAAGAAGAAAATATATAGAACTTAAAAATAATATGATAAAAATTATATTTTACTTTTGATGTATTGTTGAACGCCTTTAAATTGCCCACTCATGGATGCCACGCCATGTCCTGCAAGAAATTATTTTCTCAAGTCTGAATTTCTCAAGCAACTGAAGTATAAAAGTAGATAATCCTTTACCAATCATATCGTGAACAATTTAAAATTCAAGAAAATCCTTCATTATACAGTTTGACATATCAATTTGATATAGTATTTTATTTTATTATGTCAACAATATAATTTAGTTACTTTATTTAAATATTACAATCTTATAAATATGTAATATAACATTTTATATGCAGTGGCCGTTTTACAGGGGGGGGGGGTTGATAGGTGGACCGCTTCCCCCCTTGAGCCGTGTAAAAATCAAAAATATGAATGAGCAAACAGTTAACTAAAAATTGTTTTGTCGATAATTTTATGTCAAAAGTGTTTGCTGTTTACAAAAATGTTTGCTCCTATAAAATTTTGACTATTAATTAAGTTTGAATAAAAAATAATTTTTGTTTTCATTTTTTTATTGATACCTATATTTTTATGTTATTCCATTGTGATATAAAGTTTATAGAACTTAAAATTACTTCTCATGTAACAAGCAATAGGAAAAAATAAATGGGATATGTGTGCAAATTGCAAGTACATGCAAAATATTTTCGTCCCCCCTCCCTTGTGGTTTCTCAAGAACCGCCACTGTTTATATGATGGTGTTAAAAATCTCATTTGGTTATATTTATGCTATTGCTGTATTTTATTTATATCTCCATTTGATGTTGTTAGAGTAACTAACAGTGATTAAAAATAACGCTACTATAAATAATAACAATAAACTACATAACTGGAATTGGAATTAAAATAAAAATAGGCATTATTGTTATATTATAATTTATTTATAAATTAATATAAGTATACCTACCTAATATTATTTATTTGTTTACACGTTTTGTTGTGATAATACGTCATTATCGATTTCAAAAATATTTGATTAGTTTAATCATACCTACTCATAATTAATTTCGCACTCACCTCTCTTATTACTTTGTCTCCTTAGTCATATTACGAATTGTTTGTTATAGTAATTTCTCGTTGACTGTTCATTTTTGTTGCCTTATTTTTGTAAGTTATAATGTAGTTTTTTAAATTGCAATATACTATATATAAATAAAAAAATATTTTGGCCGATGAATTTGTGATTGATATTTTAAAATCAATACATTTACCGCAAGAAATAATTGATTATTTTAAAAGTTTTTGTTGCCTTCTAAAACTGAAATATAACAAGGGTTTATTCACTGTGGTAATGTAATTATTGTTTTATCATATTTAGTTAACTAAAAATCTTAAAACTTAAATGAATGTATAATTATGTTATTTTAGAATCCCTTTTCAATTGAAAGAAGTTGACAATATTAAAATAGAAAAAGCTCAACGATTGGGCTTAACTGTTCAGCTATTTTTACTATTTATCGGCGAAGGATGTGAAAACAAAGTTAATGTCAATGTCACTACTTTTTATGTTGATTAATTATATAAAAATATAAATATTTATAATAAATATAAATTATAAATTATAATTATGTTAAATATAATCTAATATATTGGTTGAACTATTTATAATATTTAGGTAAAGCAATCCCATGTAATAGTAAACATAACTATATTGTTTAATTCCTACAATGAAGTAGCTTTATTGATGTTGTAACTAAATACAATGTCGAAACAGCTAAATATTTTTAACTAAGCCAATTTAGTATTTATAACTACTCACATATATTGTTTCTATGTTAACCTGAAAATACGATTTAAATAACCATTTAAATAGTTGGGTTGAACTATAATTTTTCCATATAATGTGTGGGTTTTTCGATAAACACCGACGTGTTTATATCCATGAGGAGAAATTGTTTCCCTTAACTTAGTATTTTTTTTTTTTATTATCAAAGAAGTTACCAAGTTCAATAACTCAAAATAAGTATGCTCAACCATTCTTAAATATCTCAATAATCAATCTCTAGGATCTAGCTTCAGTTCTTTCAATAAATTGATATGAGAAAACTTTTCCCTTTTTAACATCCACTCTTTAAGTTCAAACAGAACGTTTTATATTATTTTTCTTTGATAAAAAAAAAAAAAAAACACTTGCCCCAGCCACTGCGATCAATTGCGTCGAATTAAAAAAAAAAGAAATTTTGCAATACCTCAGTTGAAATAAGCTTAATAAAAACTGATGTACTACTTGATTTTAACACGAAGTGTGCGGGTAACTAATTAACGATGCAACACGACGTGAACGTAACGATGAAAACCGACATGTTTTACTGTGTCGATGAAAACCGTCGTGTTTCATCGTACTGTGTGGGGGGCCCCTTAAGAAGTAACGGGATCTGGATATCGTTACATAGATAGTCGATGTATAGATTGACGAATCGATGTAACTTTTTTAGTTTTGTTCAATTCGAAATCTCTCGGAAAACAGACAAACGACAATAAATACGTGTTTGTTTGCATCGGACCGGAAGAAAAATCGCGCAACAAAAAAACAATCGCCGGCTACTCGTTTGTACGAAACTATGTCAAGCCATTCTAATACGTGAACGCGGTGAAACGTACAATTAAATTTACAACAAATTCGAATATAATACATAAATAATAAATTACATCAGTGGTTCCCAATTAGTGTGTAGTCACGGATCCCTACCTATAAATTAAGTTGATTCGGGGACATTTTTTTGTAAATACTTACTTTTAAATTTTGTTTTATTATGAAAATGAAAAAAGAATGTATGATTTATTTTAATTTGACAAACCTTTTCGTAATAATTTACAGACAAATTGTCTAAAAAAAAAATATTTTTATGTAAAGAGATTTATTTGATTTAACACTTGATTTTACATACAATATTATTGCATCAATAGCGTACTCACGGGGGGTCATGAAGTTTGAACCCCCCCCCCCCCATTGGCCGTAATTTTTTAAGATTATTCCAATAGTTTAATAATAATTGATTATTGATTTTATTGATTATAATTTAGTAGTTTATACGTTATTAGTTACCAGTATCACGGTTATCAAGTTGGATTGAAGCACGACACGACCATAGAACATGTTCTATGACACGACCGCGCTATCAATTTAACAATTTGGTGACAATTTGTGATAATGTGGTTTTTTAAAACAGTACAAAATTTGTAATTATTATGACTATGGCAGAGCCCCCACTTTTGTATTCTAGTAAATTTTCAGAGCCCCCCCCATTGAAAATTCCTGAGAACGCCACTGATTGCAATTACCTTTTACAATTTATTTATGAGTTATTTAAATTAGTTATTGCATTGATTTTCGAAATTTATGAGACAAGTAAAACTTTTCTTTCTTGTTCATAATTTCATCCAAATTCGGCTGCAGGCTTGATATTTTAACGTCAGTAACAGTAGGTAAAAAAAGCTTTTTCACATCTATGTGTGGTGTAAAAGGGGATCGAATCTTTCTCGGCCAGTTGATTTTGAAAAAATTTTGAACAATTAATCAAAAATCAATTAGTTTTTTATCGTTGAAAATATTTTTCATCGTTCCGTTATCCACCAAATCAATTCATATTGTTCTTGTTAAGAGAGATTTTCTATTTTTTCAATATCACAGAAGAATGGATCTCTTATCCACGTATTGTTTGGATCAGGTTGATGATATTTATTTATACACAATTGATTATCCATCTTTTTCGCGATAATCGAGTTACTATAATCCAAAAATACTAGGAATTTCAAACGATTACAAAGTCAATAATTGCACTAAAATTAAATTAAAATGTCATTACAGTACTACCTAACCACGGACCACCAATTGGGAACCACTGAATTACATCATTATCCGGTGTATTTAGTTTACGAGTGCCTATCGACTGGGTAAGTACGCGATTTTACAGATGTTCTATAGAATCGTTGATGTTTATTCGAACGTTATCGGTTCTCTATAAACGGCTTATTGTTTTCCGTTTAGACTCCGAACACGAAATTCAAATAGAATTCGAACTGTACTCTCGACGCTTTATGTATACGTGTATGTACATCATAATATCCTCATTTATGTACGTATCACTCGTTGTTCGAGTAACTCGGGAAATCTGCAAACATACATTTACACAAACACAAACACGACTAATTACGACCAATGTTTATTTTCTATGGGTCGCAGAATCACATATAAACACGTATAATTCAACGTCGTTCAATTATTAAATTAATAATCGCAGGGATGGACCCTCTAAAACGTGTCGGTACCACTCCGATTATGCCATATACTGTATGGTGGTGTGTATACATAAAAGCGTCACTTTTTAAGTTTTAGATAAACATATGTATGATATATTATTATTATTCGACGAATAGATCTGGACGAGCTTAACATTTATTATTAAATATTCTTTTGTAAGAAACGTGATAAAATCAAAAGTTTTTTGGTTCATGTGCCTACCACGGTTGTATGTAACCATACTTGGTTAATTAAAGTAAACGACTTCAATTGTTGTATAACATTTTAAAAATTTACGATACGAAAATCAATAATTTTTCACAATAATCGGTACTAATCGAATTTATTTTAATTTTACAATAGAATTTTGAAAATGTTTAGTGTACGAGAAATGTCGGTAGCAATATTTTATTGGCTGCAAAAGACATTTATTGTTTATGGCATATACCTTTACTATAATATTATTAATATTATAAATGTTATTTATAATATACTACTTCTATATGTGAACAAATCACTTGCAAAACGTTTGCATAAAAGGTGTGTATATTTTGTTTACGTCTATACATACATTGAGTATTATGAACATAATTTTAGTTAAATATTGGTTTGTTCACTGATGTGAATAGTTTAATAGTTGGGTGTAATCGTTTGAAAATTAGTAGATGGTAAAACAATAAACTTGTTTTTAAAATTATTATCGACTTGAAAATAATTTTAGTTTGCTGTTATACCTTTTTAACTTATCCTAAAGTTGCATCAGAGTGTGCACTTTCTTACAAATTTCATTGGTTATTTCTATATGCTATATCAGCCCTCATT